CTTATAATTTTTATCATTCTCTTTATATATAAAACCAAATATAATATAAAAAATTATTATTTTATCTATCAATAATTATATAAATCAATCATACCTCAAGTATATATTTTGACAATCTAAATTCCAATAGAATATTATATAAATTCAGGAGTCTGTACAGGGGTTGTCCTGCGACTTTCCTCATTGTAACTTTTACTCTATAATTAGGGTTTGCCCTCGGCATAGCTGCAAAAGTGGGAGAAAATCGTGGTTTTTTTTTTGGTCATGTATAATCCTTTACGCTTAATGCATTACGTAGTCGGCAGCGTATAAACTAAGAAAAATTGATGCATAATTAAAAAATAATTAAATTTATTCTCTTTTCAAATGGCAACAAAGAAATGTAAAAATTAGCCGTCCCTCCACAAAACCTACTTCATTTTACCTGGTCTTGGTTAAGAAATACTTACTGATACTGTTTGTTAATTTCATGCTCCAATAGGCAATAGGGAGTCATGACTCATGCTCATGCCCTATGTCCTCTCCTTCCTATAAATACTGCCAAATCCCCATCTCTCCTTCATTGCCATGTGAGTTCTGAGATGTATTCCACAGCCTAGCTGCATAGCCAATCTGAGCTCTTGAGACGTATTGAAAAAGAGCTTGTGTAGTAGCTTTACCGGCTTTTCATGGAGGCCTGAGCTTTTTCCGTGCTATGAACAGAAGTATGGGATAATCTGTAAAGCTCAGGAGGGATAGCGCCATCTCAAGGAGTTTTTCAACTACCATCTGTGGCGCTATCCATCCTGAGTTTCATGGGTTCTTCCTGCTATGTATATCTGGTGCAGCTTCAGCTTCATGAATGATGCATATTTGGTATCTATATGCTAATTTTGGGTATTTTTCTTTATTTAAACTTCCCCCGCAAGTTGATTCTATTTTCTTGGTTAAGTTCCAAGGATTTTTCTGTTCAATATTTGAGTAGCGCGAATTCTAAGTATATAACCAGGTGACTAATCTTCTCTGCGTTGTAGTTTGCTTTGTCAGCTTCTTTGTTCGTGGCTTTCAGGCAGCTGGGACCTGTGTCTTTTGTACTTTTTGGTTGTAGATGGACTTAGCCGCAGGTTTTCCCTTGCTCCATGGGATCTATGAATTATTCACTCATCCAAGACCCAAGGGAGCTTTTTTCTTGTAGGATAAGAAAGGGTAAGTGACCTTAGGAATCCTCTTCCGAGTACACAGCTGACGATGATTTTTCAAAAAAAAAAAAGGGAGGGTTTTTTATTGGATTTTCTTTTAACTTATCCTCGTCTGTCCAAGAATTTCTCAGATGGATTTTGTTTTATCCAAAGCTGGCTCTTGTTTTCTTTTACCAGCATCTGGAGATTTTGTACCATACTGCTATGTATTCTTTCTAGGTTACAACCAAGACGTCTTTATAAAGACACAATCAAAGTAGTTCTTCCTATTATCTGACCGTATTTCCGAAGACAGTTTTGGCAAGATCTACTTTGTAATTTTTGGTCCTCCTTCACCGTTATCTTTTGACGTTATTGAGATGCATCTTTAATTATTTTAAGGTTCTTAATTTCTCTCCTTTCTTGCATTCAATTTGCTTCTGTCTCTTCTTTTACAATTTTCCATCCTAAATATAGTATATTATTGCGGTAAGATATTTTTGGGACTTAATTTCCGAGGTGAATATCCTAATATGCATTACATTTACTAAGTACTACTACTTGATATTGTTTGTAAGTTTCAGTGCATGAGTCTTTGTGAAAGACAAAACCAAAACTAATGAAGTACTTTACTACTATGTTCTTGTTTGTTAACAGTGAAATAACCATGACAAGACAAGGAAACCTCTATGGATCTCCACTGCTGCTCCATCTTCATCCTCCTACCCTTTCAATTTGCTTTGATGATTTGTTTATTTGCCGCCAAGTTTTCATGATAACAGAGATCCAGGGCTTTTCCTTCCTGCTGCTGCTAGAATCAAGCCAAAACTCTGTTACCCAGAAGCTCTAGTGCTGATCTCCAGTAAGCCGGCGTCTGACTACTTCACAGAAGTGCCTGGCTGGTCTGGCTAGGGTTTTATACTTTGACTTAAATTGTATGCAGGCTTTTAGTATCTGTGGATGTTGACTCCTTTCCGACATCGTTTAGATCACGGTCTCGTCGCTTTCTTTCCCACAATTTGTTTCCTTTTCAATTACTAATTTCTTCATGATCATCGTTATCTCTCTAACAAAAGCAAATGTGATGCAATTAATAATTATAATAATATTTTCATGCAAATGCCATACTAGTAATAAAATTTTCAATTCCGATGGAGTATGATGGTGAGGTTGACTTTTAAAATTCGACTTCTTTTATGTATTGTAGCTATCCCTTCCCTGTTGAGATGCAATAGAGATCATGCGGTTGGCCATTACTGGCCAAGTGTAGGACTGGGATGATTTAATTCTAGGTTCAGTGGGAGTTTTGAGAAATTTGATCTTACTTTAGGGTACAAGGTGTATCTAACTGTACGGGAACAAAGGAACCAGATCATGCCAACAATCCCGAGGATTGTTGATATTTTTAATTCTAACTATAAAAAAAAAGTTTCAATTCAAATTTTAATAATTCGTAAGTATAAAAAAATAAGCTGCTAAAGTGTAGGAATTTTTAATTTTAATGGTAACTTTTAAATTTTAATAATTTTAAAATATATATATAAAAAATGCAAATTGTCTGTTATCGTCCTCACTATTATAACCTATCAAATGCAATCTTCTTCGTCATATCAATGTGGACAATGTGCTTCAACAGGAACACCCACCTCTCTACAGTTTTTTGGAGTTTAATCACTCCTTTTATCATCTTGGGTAAAAGATCTTGTATATAATAAAACATATACGCTCATCATTGCAATATATATTTCTATTGTCCACTACAATTTTGCTTTATAAGGTGACAAGAAATTCCAACCTGAAGTCCAATTTGGCAAAGAAGTTTTGGATCATTTTTATTTTTATATATGGAGAGAGAAGTCTATGTATAACTTACTCCATTGGCAATAATAAGCAAGTTGTTGATTTATGATTTTTTTTTTAAATTCCAAAGTTTTCAAAGTGGCCATGTACTTTAATTTTTGGGGGATGGAGATGGCTTTGCGAAGGTGGAAGAAATAATGAAGCCCATAGTTAATTCGATTCACTATGCTTCATTAATTAATTGTTAATGCAAAGCTCAATTAATCTATTTGATATAATCTAAAATTCATATTTATCATTAATTTGTTTTAATAAATTATATAAAAAACAAACAATACATTTACTATATATTAATTTTATAAAATAATTAACTATATAGTCTTAACGCTTCAATTATTTGTATTTCACAAAATGATCCAAGGAATTCATAAATTAAAAAAAATATATATTCAAACGAGAGACATATTAAAGCATTAATACTTATTTAATATTTTATTAAAAAGTCTTTTATTGGTAGATATTTTAGGGTTTGAGAGTTTTACTATAAATAATATTATTTTCTTTAGGGTTTCAATCAGAGGTTAATTAAGAGGCTATGAGATTGAGAATTGAATGTGGCTTTGTGCATAGCAGTAACGGTTTGAAGTTTAAAAAAAAAAAAAAAAGGGTTTTGATAGATCAAAATTGCAGGTACATAGACGTAGCTTTCAAAGTATAGTAGGTCCGGAGAACCTGACAGGACTTGAATTTCCTTGCCGTGACAGTGGACCTCATAGATCCAGAAGGTGCTTTCGATGGCAATACAACGCCTCAGAGCAACTACATGGATGAATTTATTCTCCCATATTTATTCACTCTGACTCTCTGAGTTTTGGACACACCTTAGGAGGAATATATGTCCTCCTGATGAGAATCAGGGGGCCCTGGACAAGGGTCACGCTCCTTCAAATTTTTTTTTACTTCTTTTGTTATATAATAATCAATTTAATCTAATTATTACTTTCATTTTTTTCTTTAAAATTATTATTTGACTCCTCATTTATTAATTTTTTACTTTTGCCTCTGATGAGAATGATCTGCCTCTTCAGAGCCAACAAATTTTCATTTGAATGTTTCAGAAAAATATATAGGTGCATGTATATATACACCATGAATGTAGGTAAAATTTCAGGTTTTGTCATTATTTTTTCTCTGGCACAAAGGAGATTGTTGCATGAAGATAAAAAATGATTGCAGGAATCCAGGTTCGACTTTAGATTCGTTGAATGTCATTTTTTTTGTAATGACTACATAAATTAACTAAGCTAGCTTCGGTTCTACTAATTGGCACCTAATTATCAACTTTAGTTCTTATAACTGTGTGATAAGAATCAATGCACTACACGTTGCTGACATTTTTTCTTTGGAAAAAGATTGAAGATACAATAACAGAGGTCAAGTTTGAGAGGCAATTTCAAGTTTCGACGCAGGGGAGGGGAAAGGGGCGATGGGCTTCAATCCATATGTTAGATGCGGCGTTTTCTTCTTCAGTTTTGTACTCTGACAAGTGGCGGCTATGTCGCAGCTGATCAATTCACAAAGCAGAATCATAACAGACGCCTCATTTTTAGCTGCTCCGCCTCTCTGCCTTTAATTTCTCTTCTCCTCTCAATTCCAATTATGAGCCCAGAGCCATTGCTTCCTCTTGCGGTATCCATGGTACCCCATCCACGGCAAAATAGCAAAAATATCAGTTCATGAATTTCAAACACAAAAGTAAAAATAAATAAATAAACAAAATTTGTGGGAAGAATAATTACTGGTATAATATATTTGGACTATTTACATTCTGTAACATTCCAAAAGAAATTGCCTGAGTCCTCCTAACAAAATATAATACTAGCAGCGCTGTGGTTGAATAGGAAAGTAACACTTGAGACTTCATTTTATTTAATATTGTTTAGAATAAGGAAAGAAATAAAAGAACATTAACCTGCATGTGAATGCGAAGAAGCAACAATGTCAACATGAAATCGATCTCCTTTTGAGCCCCATTTTAGTGTACGTCGACATCTCTCTGCGTCCCTCTCCAATTTGTTGCGTGATAGATAGTGCTAGGTTTCTTAGGTACTCTTTTTGCATGGTTAGGGCTTTCCCTGCTCGTCACCCTTTCACGCCTCATGGATGGCAAGGCCATTCACAAGGCTACCAGCAGCCTACAATGGGAATTAGAGGCGCTAAGTTCCAGACCTCCAACCGTGGAACTGCAGCATTTCCACTGGTGTGTGTGAGAACAAAAGAACCTCATTCCTTTGGCATTTTCTATGGCCATAACCCATTGATGTTCTCTTTCAATGTCATCCTTGTTGGTCTAATCTTGATCAATTTGATCACTCGGACCTTTCGCTTTCTTCTCAAGCCTCTCAGACAGCCTAGGTTGGTTTCTGAGTTAATTGTAAGTATCTTTTCCCTTTTTTTTTTTTTTTTGGATTCTCCTTCTTCTTCATGATCAATATAATTAATTACTACTATGTTTTTTGGTTTTCTTTGATGATTAAATGAATTTCAAGGCCGGCATTATCATTGGACCCTCTCTTCTGGGGCAGAGCAAGAGCTTTACCAATATCGTGTTTCCCCTTAATGCCAAATTCGTGCTGAGAAACGTAGGAGTGATGGGATTTATGTTATTTGTTTTCGTAAGTGGAGTAAAAATGGATCTAGGCATGTTAAAACGATCGGGAAAAAAACACTTGTTTATTGCCTTGATAAGCGTTTTTGGACCTCTCATAATAGTGATTATTGTTGCATGGTGTAATCGAAAATCAATGGACAAAGAACTTGGAAGACTTTCTTCAATTGGAACAATTGCCTCATCTCTGTCGATAACAGGATTTCCCATTCACTATGCTGTACTTCAAGAATTAAACCTTCTTAGCTCCGAGGTTGGAAGTATGGCCTTGTCCATAGCATTAATTAGCGATAGCATTGGGATGAACTTTTTAGTGGCATTTCAGGCAATGAAACAAGGGGAAGTATCCAATGAAGATGCTCTTTGGTATATAATTTCCTTGGTGGTTCTTTTAGCTTTCTTGGTTACTGCCTTCCGACGAGCAATGTTGTGGATTATCGAAAAAACCCCTGTGGGAGAACCGGTGGATCAGTTATATGTGGTTGCCATTTTGTTGGGAGTGTTTGTGACTGGCTTTTTGACAGACATGTTCGGTATAGCCATTGCTAACGGCCCATTCTGGCTAGGATTGGTGATTCCAAACGGGCCGCCGCTAGGGGCAACCTTGGTGGAGAGAAGCGAGACAATCATGATGGAAATAATTATGCCATGTTCATTTGCGTTTGTCGGCCTCAACACGGATTTTTCTGAAATGACTGAAGCTGGCTGGTCTTCCTTGGGACCGCTATTTGCCTTGTTTATTTCAGGTTACTTGTCAAAATTCCTCTCAACTCTTATCGGTGCCAAGATGGTAGATGTGCCATGGAGAGACAGTCTTGCTCTCAGCCTTGTTTTGAGCTTGAGGGGTCAAGTGGAGCTTATTCTATACGTCCATTGGGTGGACAAAAATGTATGTTTTCTACTTTCATCTCTATCAGTTACGATAGCTAGAAAACTAATGCGCTACTCATCTCATTTCATTTGTGTTTTGAATGTTTACAAGCAGATAATACGGATACCAAGTTTTTCAATGCTGATATTTCTAACAACGGTTTTAACCGGAATTCTTACACCTTTGATTAGCATTTTGTATGATCCCACAAAGCCTTACATGGTAAACAAGAGGAGGACCATTCAACATACCGCTCCGGGTGAAGAACTTAAGATACTACTCTGCATCCAGGACAAAATAAACGTGCCCAGCCTTGTTAACCTTCTTGAAGTCTCTTATCCTACTGTTGACAACCCTTTCTCCGTTTACGCTTTCCACCTTGTCGAGCTCATCGGTCGTGCTAACCCTTTGTTCATAGACCACCAAAATCAGGAAGTGGAAGACCTTTTCAGCAGGTTCCCGGACTCTGAAACAATCCACAATGCTCTAAAGCTCTATCATCAAAGGAGAGATGAATGCGTAGAGCTCCATTTTTTCACAGCTTTAACAGCAAAAAGAACAATGTATCAGGATGTGTGCAAGCTTGCTTTGATAAGCAAGGCTACTATCATCATTTTGCCTTTGGAGAAGGAATGCGATGGCGAGATCGTAACAAAGCATTGGGGTAGTGGGCATCGGTCTTTGACCACCGAAGTCTTAGCCCATGCACCTTGCTCCGTTGGAATTCTTATTGACAAGGCCGATCGATGGCACCTCCCCTTATCTCGCTCCTTCGGAGGCGCTACGCACAGCTTTATTGTACTATTCCTAGGAGGACCAGATTCTAGAGAGGCTCTTGCTTATGCAGATCGGATGGTTGGCAACCCGAGTGTGTCCCTAACTGTAATAAGGTTCCTTTCTTCAAACTCTGAAGGAGATGATGAAATGCAAAAGAAACTTGATGATGGGCTAGTGACTTGGTTCTGGGTCAAGAACGAAACGAACGAAAGAGTGATTTACAAGGAGGTAGTGGTAAGAAATGGAGAAGACACAGCTTCAGCAATTCTGGCCATGGCTGAAGAGCATTATTATCATCTCTGGATAGTGGGAAGGAAACAAGGGATAAATCCTAGTCTTTTGGAGGGATTGTCAACCTGGACAGAAAATAAAGAAGAGCTTGGGATTATTGGGGATTATATTTCATCTTCTGATTGTGTTAACGCGGATTCTGTGTTGGTGGTTCAGAAGCAAGTTTTGAGAGGGCAAGAGAACAACAATACATCTCGTTCACCAAGTTTTATGCGGTGCTTGTTTTGCTCATGATATATACTGCTACATATATATATATAGATATATGTATATTTGCGTAGGATTCAATTCAATATTCAATGTAAAGGGGTTCTAAATTATAATCTTATTGCACTACATGATCACAAATATAAGAAATGCTCGATTTCTTTTGATACTTGAAACTTATCAACAGACAATGGCCTCTAGTTTAGATGTTGGGGTAATTAATTTTAGGGCTTTAATTATGAACTTGTATTTGATATATATATAAAAAATTTATATATATAATGTAATAGCTAGTACATGCATTTCGTGATTTTTTTTTTTCCTTTGTTGAGATTTATGTTTAGCTTTATCACCCTTCCATGTTTTTGAGTCAAACCTATTCTAAAATTAGGGAATCAGAGTAGCTATAATCTCATGTATTTTTCCCACTGGAAGAAGGTGTTGGATCAAATTCAATTCCCAGTTCCCATATTCATCAATAAAACTGGACATCTTCATATGCAAAATATCCGAACCAACTTAATCTGTCACAAACTGAATTAAAGGTGCTTCACCAATCCTCCACCAATCTTCCCAAAAGCTTATATTTCTACTACCACCCACTAACCATTTTCGGCCAAGCCACAAAACTTTCCTACATTTTAAGATTGCTTTCCACGTAGAAGAATCATAAAATGCAAGCGGCACTTAGACAAAATCATAAACCATAATTAAACCCATGCATATTCAATATGAATTCGTAGAACATGTATTAATTTCATGCACTTTACTGTACTTAAATTAGTAATTAATCGGCTTATAAAACTACAAAGTGAACTCCACACAACTGATCTTTCCAATAATTAGATAGGCTTACTCTTCTTTTTTATTTTTATTTTAATTTTTAATGGTAAAACTTAAAAAGGGAGTCAAACATAAATTAGGAAATGTGTGACCGTGGCCGAAAAAGAAAAAGGCTATAAAGATTGAATTGATAGCCCAAAAAGCCTATGAAGTGGGCCCAATTTTGATTGAAGGAAAATCCAGAATCCATGCATACATACAAAAGAAAGAGAAAATTGCATATGCGGTGAGCGTGGATCGAACACGCGACCTTCAGATCTTCAGTCTGACGCTCTCCCAACTGAGCTATCCCCGCAAGCGTTGCAGTGTTTCAGTTTACAAATGTAACAAATCTTTTTATTTTTTTTTTATAAAAAAATTCATTTTTCCATTCAAATTTAGCGGCAAACATCTTAGCTTTACAGAATGTATTCCCTTTTTAGACTAATTTATATAATTTATTTACATAAAATCTAGTAAATTTATAAAAAAAAATTACTTTTTTATAATATTTCAATGAATTCAAACTCATGTAATAAATATAAGAGCATTTTTTTATTATATATGAGTTATTTTTTATTTATTCAAATAAAAAAAATGTCTTGAAATTATATATATATTTTTAAATAGATTGAGATTCAAAATTTATTGTCGATTTGACAAGTAGATTATATATGTGAAAAAAGCTAAAAGGAAATATAGTAGTAACCTAAATTTCAATAAAATGTTGAAAATGTCATAAACTAGTGTTATAATTTAATGCTTGAATCATAACACATATGATATATATATATATATTTTTTGTTCTTAGACCGCGATTATTTTAATTAAAAAAAAATCCAATTTTCTTCATCAATGAGTCCAGGAAACATTATCGTTAAGTGGAGTTGCCATAAAAATCACAATCCTAAACGTGAAATTAGAATTGGGTTGAGCCCATTATTATTTAGTAGGCTTTTGTGCTGCCAGCCAGCCTTATTTAAAATTTCTATTATTTTACTAAATTGCTACTATACGCTTGTACCCTTTTCTGGGTCCGACGGTCGCCGACTTCTACCGTCCTTCCCAGAACCGTCGTCCTCCACCTCTTGTTTCTGTCGTTGGCCACTACTTCCCCTTAGGTCTCTCTCTCTCTCTCTTTGTTCATAGAAAGTTTAAATCCTGATTATTTTTTCAGCTATGGATGACGACAATTCGAACGCATTTCGGAGAATGTCGAGCCGCACTCGTAAAGTGGCTCCTAAAATGGCTGCAGCACTTGGCAGTTCTGATAATCGAACACAGGTTTCTTCCTTTTTTTCCTTTAAATTTTAATTTTTTTTTAATAATTTTTTCTGTGAAATATTGGGAATTAATTAGTGGGATTTAAATATTTTGAAAAAAAAAGGCAGCTTTGGCTCGTCTTGAAGCTTTGGAGAATGATAACACAGGGATTGAAGCAGTTGAAATGAACGATGATGATGAAGCTTCACTCGACGACGATGATCAAGGTTTTATTGTATCTCTCTTTCTTATCATGTCGAAGTTTATGTAAATTTATTTACTAGGACAAAAGTTTATGTAAATTTGAAGTGAGCTGCTAATGCTATGTTGATAATATCTCACCTGTGAAACCGCAAAGAAAAAATTCAGTCTTTTGGTAGTTGAATTTTGTGTTGGTGAGAGTAAGTAATATTAATTAGGAGGAAGTTTGTTTCAACCATCATAAACCTACCAGAGAAAATGGAAATATGAATTACTTTTGTCTTCTTAGATTCAGAATTATGTTATCATTGTTAAAGTCTCAGGCCATGCATTTTTTTGGGATTTAGATTCTTTTTACTACAATCTTGTAATTAACCAATCATAATTTTGCAGGGAGACACCACTTACAAGGTTCCGCGTAATACTTTCATGAACCTTACATAATTTTTAATTCTGACTGGATTAATTGTAGTGCAATAATTGTAGATCATACGCACTCCTTTTTGGGGAGATTGGTTTTGTTCAGAGCTTTATTAATAGACATGGTGATCATAGCTCATACTCATAGATATAATAGCTTTTGTTGAAAGGGAGTTTCACTAGAAGTTATAGCATAACTAATATTCCGGTCTTTGATCTTTTGCTGCCTCAGTTTTGTTTATGAACCTTTTCTATATATTTTCTGATGCTAATTCTTTGATGATTCTTCATTGTCAAATTTGGACAACTGCATGAAGGAAAATACTACTACTATGTATTTGTTGCTTCAAAGTAGTTGGGCATTGTCTAATCTAATATGATTTCCACCTTCAAGATCTGCTTTATTGAACCATGAATTAAAAGGGCAGTAGTTGTGTGAAGTTGATTAGGAAATGTAACTGTCTTTGAAATTTATCTTCTAATGCTAATTATAGAAAGCTGTTTTATTCGTTTCAAAATATTTGTGTTTCCTTGTTTTAACACTTGCTTGTTTTTCACTTTTTCCTTTTTCGACTTCCAATTGCAGCATACATGCAAAAGAGATTCAAGGGCACAAAACGTAAAACTCGGCAGGCAAAAGCACTTGAAAATGCTAGGAAGGCTCCAAGAACATTTCTTGAGCTTTTACATGAGGTAAAAAGGGCAATGATGTTTCTATTCTTCCTGATTTTATTGCTTCACTTTGCTGAACTAAATAATTCCTCTTCTTAAGGCAAACCTGGAGTCTTTGCCTCCTCATGTTCCATCCTATTTGAGGGCAGCAGTGGGACCTCCAAGCTCTACCTCCCGTCGGCATTTCTGCAGCGTTTGTGGATTTACTGCAAGCTATACATGCGTGACATGTGGAATGCGCTTTTGTTCGTGCCGTTGCCAAAATATACATAATGATACTCGATGCATGAAATTTGTTGCTTGAGTGGTGAGACAGGAACCATTTTTTTTTTGTTTTGATGGGTAGTTAGGAAACAAAAATTTTGTAACTCATCAAATGCCAAAAATATTCTATGGATGTTGTTATGAATTTGTCAAATGTAGTCTTAAGAAATCACGACTTTCTGTGCTACTGTTTCTTGGTAGAGTTTGTAAAGCAAGGGCAAAAGAGAAATAAAAGAGGAAGAAACCATTTTCTTTTGTTTAAATTGATTCTCCTCTGGTTCTCAGATCTCGACGGTGTATGTTCAGGTACTTCACTTGCTCAGAGCTAATCTTTTAAGTTTTAGCAGGCTTATTACGTCATACTGATTAATGATTATCACCAATTAAAAAAGATAAAAAGTTGAGTTAAATCAAGATTGTATCAAAGAAGCTAAATTTTCTTTATAAATCAAACCAGTTAAAGAATTATCTACAATTCCTAGCTGGTCATGCAGGCTGTCCCCCACTCGGTGTTCACACATCCTCTTCTAGAAGTGATTGATGGTCTATAGTCAGAAAAGTTCCATTGAAGGTATTTGGGGACAACTACGAAATGATAGGTTGTTATAGTTTTGTGGTTTTCAAAAGCTATATCCAAGAACAAGCTTCTTTACTGGGAAGATTTAACTAAAACAGACTTGCCACTCAAGCAGTGCCAGTTTCACGGAGCACAAGGACTGCATAGAGCAGATTGTTTTCATTGTTAATGAATGGAGAGAGATCATCTGTAATTTTATTAGAAACAAAACATTTAATCATGTCAAATCGGTTGCTTATTAATAGTCCAAGTCAGGACGTACAACATTAACAGAAACAAAGCTGAAAAATCCTTGAAAACAAATTCAGCTAATAAATATCTAAAGACTCGAGTAAACAGCAAATACTGGAACACGTAATATAAATGTTTATGGCTAGTGATATTGTCCTTAACATTGGGGCAGATCAAGAGGTGGAGGCTGTACCGTCTGCAATATCCCAACTCCATTCTCAACCAGGAAAGATGTGGCCAAGCCCCAAGTTAGATGGGAGTCTATATGACAATGGAGCAGCCAGATTCCTGTTTTGGACCAGTTCAGTAAATGACAAGCATCAAAATATGGAAATTGTCTAATATTGAATTAATGTACTTATATGTAAGTTTGGCATGTTACCTGGATTATCAGCCACAAACCGAATGGCTACCCATCCACCCGGAGGTGTTCCAATGGTATTTCTCTTGGGCGGATCGAAAAGGTTGAATTTGGCTGGATCATTTCTGGGATCAAAGTTACCAAAACCACTTCCAACAACATAGAATTGGAAACCATGGAGATGCATCGGATGATCGTCAACTGAGACAATATTTGTATCCTGAAACACAATTTGTACCTTGGAACCAAATTTCAGTTTAAAGAGCTTTGTTCCCTTCATAGGTTGCCAGAGGCCTCGGCTCACATTGCCTGTATAATCAAATTGAATGGGAGGAACAGGCGGAAAGTCTGTGGTGAAGATACCAGGTTGACCTTGGTAGTAGGCCTGCATTAAGGAGTTCCTTCTTGGGAGTACAAACGAGACATTGTTGATGCTGGCAGTGAAACGAGTTCCGTTGGGGCCTTGACATCGAGGGCTATTAGGATTTGAGCAGTTGATTAGTCCTACCCCCACTGTAAAAAAGAGGCTCTGATCAATCTCAATGGGAACTTTGACCTGGGAAAGACTCGTAAACTGGGCAGTGAATGCAGTTGTGGTAGCTGTGTCATTGAACCCCGGTAGCTGTGGTAAGATTGGTTTCAAAGATTGCCCTTTTTTTGCGCTGCAAGGAGCAGATTTATATTCAAGGATTGCTGTTGTGGTGGTATTGTCAAAGGGTGCATTGGCGCTCTGGTAGGCATGTGCAGCCATGTAGTAACGAGCTGGAGGCTGATCAGCGGTAAGAAGGACATCGGTTGTCTGACCAGGAGTTATCATGATGACATTAGTTGTGAAAGGTTTAGTGTAGGCAGCGTCAGCAGCAACAACGGTTAGTTTGTGGTTGGCCACACCAAAGAAGAGTTCTGCATTCATCGCAGAGCTGATGATCCTCAGAAGAATTGTCTCACCCGCCTCCACAGGAAATATGGCAGTTTCTGCATTTGCAATTAATAGTTACTATATCATCTTCTCAATGATGTTCCTATTTTGCAAGGAAGCAAAGTAGTTTCATATGACTTCAATTATTTTACCTACTCGAATTTCTCAATCAGGACCCTGAAGTAGATAAATGGTGAAAGCATACCTTCGCTAGAGCATCTATACAAGTCCCCTGGTTGACCATTAATTGTAAATGCATCTGATACATTTGGAGGAGCTCCTGTGAAAAGTGCCAGCCTAAGAACATCCATCGGATTTCTATCCCACCATTCTCCTGTTTATCATCATAATAATTCATTTGTGTTATGCTATATATACTGAAAAGGAAGCCCTAACGACGTACAACGATGTAAGACATAGGGTTACCAAGAAGAATAGGAATTTCTCTCTTGGGCATTGGGAAGGGGTATGGAGAACCCAACTTAGGATATATGATGAGAGCTCCATAAACTGTGGCTCTAAGCCATCTGCTATGAGCATGCCACCACAAAGTCCCCTCCTGGTTTTGGATGGTGAATTGGTATGTGTAAGACCTCCCTGGTTGGATAGGACACTGTGTCACATACTCAGGCCCATCTGCCCATGGATTTCGTAATTGTCGTAACCCATGCCTGATCAATGAAAGGCAGAAAATGATACCAGAAATACTATCACCATTTCAGTCTAGTTTACACTTCATTTCTTTGCACGCTTACACAATTTGCAAAATCAAAATTTAACCTTTTGAATGATGCAATGAATTTAGTATCTACTTCTCAAGTTTTGCTAGGCTAAGTTGGTTTTGTAATGCATAGTAGTATAAAAATTACCAGTGGAGGGTGATATTGTATCTGGCACTGTTTATAGCTTTGATCACCAGGGAATCTCCATCTCGCACTTCCAATGTTGGTCCTGGAAATTGCCCATTCACTGTCACAATGCTATGAGTTCTGCACAGCCTCTTCACTGGCTTGGCTTCAATCTGTTTCAATTCAAAGGCCAAAACAGGAAGATTAAAAAAAAAAAAAGGAAAGAAAAAAAAAAGGATTAAAATTATGCTATGAAGAAGTCATACAACAAATTCATGGTAATGAATTGCTGCATCTGCAAAGGATGCGAGAAAAGCAAATATTAAAAGAATGCCAAAGAATAAATAAGAGTTGCATGGCTTGGCCCTGAGTGTGTGATGTTCCATTGCTCTCTCTCAGCGTTTGGTTGAGGGAGTGATTTGTGAGCTTGGACTTCAGGGAGAGCAACTATTTATGCTAGGAATAAGCGGGAAAAGACAAGAATTTAACTGTTTCTTTATATTGAAAAGAAAAATGTTTTGCCAAAATTAGGTTTCATGTCAACATGAGAACTTAAATTTTAGGACATCATTATTCTAACCATACAGAGGGTTTGGTGCACCCACTAGCGGCATTCATCTATCGGACAAGAAAAAAAAAATCAATTAACAAAGGGAGATTCTGCACTCTTAATTCTCAAATGACTAGTTATAATCTCTCTACTGGGGCAGTTGCAAGCTTGTCATCAATATATAGTTCCATGATTATTAACTCGAATCTTTCAATCTTGCATAAAATTCAGTGCTGAAGGGCCCAACAAGGGAGAATCAATGATTTTATTATTATGAAAGATGGATCAAATTCAATAGTGTATTCCCTATCTTCACTCTTAGCAAAGTTATATTTGGTTCTCGACCGGACCAAGATTATTCCTAATTTGATTTTCTTCATAATCGGAGAGCAAGAGTGTGCAGACTCATGATTTACTCTATTTAAGTTTGATGCTTTGCAGTCATATTTAATCCTGACGACTATTAGAAATAAAACATCTTGTGAAGATGTTGTTTAAGTTTTATCTCTTGGTTAGTAAATAAAACAAGTAAAGGATCAACAGTTAGCTAAACAATTTGTGATTCTGCCCTAACAACGTAGACCAACCATTTTTCAACCTGTCCTCTGCTCACTGAATGACTGTCTATGTACTTCTTCGTCAGGTATTAATGTCTTTTCTCTATCTGTATCTCTTAACTTCTTTACTTTTACTTTTACTTTTAAACATACATAGGTTTTGATTTTTCGTTTCATTACTAATAAATAATTACAAGGCAATCATTATCATAGGACAGCAGGGGTGAGGTTGAATTTTGATTGGATTTGGTAAAGCAAGAAGAAGAGCTATATTATATCCAGATTTATTTGACTATTTTGGTTAAATATGCATGAAAGACGTCAGAATTAGGCTATGGTATTGACAAAGCCGATCCTCAGGCAGTTTAAGGTTAAAAGAAGATGCCAGAATTAGTCTATAGTCTTGACAAGGTCGATCCTCAGGCAGTTTAAGTTTAAAAGAATAAGTCAGAACTCAGAATTAGTCTGTGGTCTTGACAAAGTCGATCCTCAGGCAATTTAAGGTTATGGTTTATAGTAACAAGTCGTCAGCTGCATTATCTTTGATGAAAAGTTTTCAACTCATTCTATGGACTAAAGTTTATACGCCCAAAGAGGAGTTTTGACAATTTTGCTTTGAATGAATCGACATTTTTTTTCAAGTATTGATTTAAGATCATATCTTCACATTGAATTTTGACTTTCTTGTGCTTACACTAAATCCTTCCTTTTTCGATGGATTCCTCAGTTTTTCAACATGATGATAATAATAATAATAATAATAATAATAATAATAATAATAATAATAACAAGATCAACTTTCTTACTGTCATCAACACTTTCTTTTTTTAAGTGAAAAATTTCCTCATGATTATCGGTACTGTGAATCAGATAAAGTGCAGAATAATGCTGATGAAGAAATGTTAAACCTGCAAATATCTTCAACACGGTAATATTACCTTCTTTAATTTCAACATAAATTAAAGATCATGTAAACATCAATCAAGGTACCGACTCAACAAGCAAAAGGTTATTTTCTTCTATAGTAGGTGATTAATATTGAAATGAAGCAGGTTTGACAGGTCTACTCCCCATTATTTTCTATGTAAACTAGAAGATCAATGTTTTTCAACAGTTTGTTACAATGCAGATTACAATAATGAAGTAGGTAGCCTACCAACTGACTTCAGATTAAAAAAACATAGAATGAATTTACTAAATATTTTCAGGCATGCTAAACCTGCACAATTTCTGTCGGGACCTTTAAGTAATCAATTGAACCGTCAACAGAAATGTTGGTCTCTGACTCTGTCTTTAACAGTCTACCGTCATGGCATTGACAGTAGAAACCAACAGTCCAATGGCAATGCTTGTCTTCGTATTCCCTTTCTACTAACTTTGCTTCTCAAATACATACGGCTACCAACCCTCTTATTCAATTTAAACATCGTTGAAATGCCACGATATGCTTGACAAAATACAATAACTTAATGAGTAAAAGATAATGGCAAGAAAAATGAACGAATAACGATTCAAAAGTTCATGGTTTCGTTTACTATGTTCACATTCATGACAAGGAGGATGAACGTTGCAACATGGCAATGCCATTTGTGTTTTCCAAATAAACGTTACAGGATGCCAACAAAAGAAAAAGCCGATTTAAATATTGGAGGTTCTGCTTGAAGTAATATTTTTGTGCTATAATGGCCTGTTTAGATCCGTTTTCCCAATCACCTGTTGTGTATCGACAAGACAACAAACCAAGTCAAATTCCAAGAGTTTCCAACTTCCTACAGAAAAGAACCATTTTCCTAGGAGAAGAGACGAAAGCTTTTCAATTTAGATTTGGATACCAGTTATTTGGGTGTTACATTGCAAGAATCTAAAATACGAATATGAAACTACAATTAAAAAGAAATTCAAAAAAGCATGAGAATAAAGGGAGGGAATTTATTTAGTGTACACACTCCAACAAGAAAACCTACATTGAATTCCAAAACTGTGGAAAGGCCATCTGTCAAATCACAAACTAACATTTATCTGGTATCAAAATCAGCAGATAAAAAAGGGGAAAAGAACAAATCATGAATAACAGGACCCAAAACATCAATTCCTTCAACCTCTTTCTGTGAGAGGTACAACGTTGGATCGGCTAACATTCCCAAGATTAAAGGGGGGAAAAAAGATCAGGCCTAACACATGCTTCAATGTTGCTTCCATAAATCCCTCTCTTCAGACCTGAGCTATCTGCTGCTTCAAAGTTTTTAATGACTTTATTTTTGATTCACAAATACGCCAAAATTCAGAGAGTACTGTACACTGTCCGGATACTATTTTTCTTGCCACATCAACAGGACTCCAATCCCGTAAAGCTTGGGAGATCCGATTCCCAAGTTCTGTCTCATTTGGGGAAGATACCAAAGTTTCAAAAATATGGAAAACCTGTCCAGGTCCTTCATCCTGTCCATTTCTCCGAAGAGGGGACACCAAAATGTCTATCTTATTGTCCTCTGGGCTGTTGATCTGATCTTGTGACCATTTTGCAACCTCTTCTAATATGCCACATAAAGACTGTATAGCATCCCGAATTGCATGAGTTAACAAAGAGAGAGACTGATCCATAGATCCACTCTTCTTCTTCTTCTTTCCAGATGGAAGGCAAGACCGGACACAAGACTGAATTACAAGGCCATGCCAAGCCAATGGTTCAGTAACCAGTTGGACTAATATAGGTAAATCACCCTGTGGAGATTGAATCAGAGGCTCCATGGATCTGACCTTTCCCAAAATGTAGCTTTCCAGAAGAGAATTTACAAGATGCCAACTACCAGGAGTACATTCACCTCCATGTTGTCCAAATTCATGAGAATTCAAGTTCCAAGCATTAAAAAATACAGCAAAGTTCAACCAGTCAATTATGTCTGAACCAAAAGCCTGTATAAAACCTCAAAATTAATTTTGCAGAAGGTAATTAACATTATATGATACTTAAGCAGTATAGGCATCAATATCTACCTACCAAATCTACGAAAACTGCCATCACCAACCTTTTGATAATATCAATGAAGGCATATAAGCATCTGTTCTATGAGTAAGAGAAAAATGTAGACCATAATATTCCCCCAATTGTTTTAGCAACATGCAACATACAAAACTAGAGACAATGTGATTAAATATTCAAATTACCTAATTTTAACTACTTCCTAACATGTATTGACTTCTGAGGAACAATGTGTAAATCTTTACATCTCTAAGATCGGAGCATAACTTGACAAGCACAACAATATTCAGTACATGATCTCATCAGCCAGCATATTAAACTGTATAACCAAATACAAGACCCTGCAACAATTAGAATGCATGAGAATGTACTAATTGAGGATACGCAAACAGTCACAGTACCTCATAAGACTTTAGCCCATGGGAAACTCCCACAACCACATCTACTGCATCATTTAAGGAAAATCCCAACATTTTTGCATAGCGTTCAAGCAAAGTCTTCAGCTCTGAGGATATTTTAGGATCAGCTAGAGAACCATTGATTTCACTGCTATCCTTTTGTAAGACTGATGCACTTTGAATAGACAAATATATCATCCGAGGAAGAAGAGACTTCCTCTCAACGATTCCCCGTACATTTGCTTCCCTTTCCTTTGTCTAAATTTGATCAACAAGAAAAGAAACTCCCAATTAGATAACCAATAAAAAGATAGAAGATGCAAGGCATAATTGTCAAGAGAAAACCATGGAAAATAAATTCTTTCCACAACAAACATTACACAAACTACAAGTCTACAAGAAATTGGGGACAGAGTTTAGTACCAAATTTTCTTTAGGATAGTATGAGATTCCTTCAAATGGACCTGAAGCAGCAAAAGTTTCAAAATGGTTCAAGGAAAATAACCAGAGGAATAGTTCAAGGATTAAAGAGAAAGACCTCAAAAAACATCAACAAGATAATGAATAATAAACCAATCAGGTATTGCTATGCATCATGCTATACAGACCTAAAAGATAGTTTTTCTCTTTAGTTGGCGTCCACCAAGGTCGTGACTGGAAATCTTCATTGAACGTCAGCGATTTTGACCCAATCTCATTAGAGAGCTCTACAAAGTCAATCCCGCATTTCAAGCTCTCAAGAATACTCTAGATGAAAAAATAGTAATGTTACATGCATTCCCCAATACAGCAAAACATTATTGGCGTTAATTACTCAAGGATTTCAAATACACTTACCTCTTCTTCTTCAATATTGTCTGCACTTTGCTTTAGCTGCAGAATTGGTGATTCAACCCTTGCCACCAAATATTGATTTGAATGTTGCAACCGCTCTTTGAACTGAACAAATTCTATTACCTGGAGTACAAGGTAACGAATATTCCTCAGTTCACATACTCAAGACCTAAATCTCATTCCAACAATTAATTTATCTTTGTTTTCCCTGTTAGCCGGTAACATCTACTGGCTACAATGATAGAGCCCAACAGTCAGTTTTACATTGTTGGAAAATTTATATATTCAACATGGACAGGGCAATGAAGCAATAGGAAATTAAGATATGCTTGCCATGGAATAAACTGCTTATGAAGGCAAAATTAAGAAGCTTGTTCACTGAGCAAGCAAATCAAGCTCAGAATTCACTTAAGTTTCAAGGTGAAGAGTCAAGCATGTTTCAGCACCACTATATGGAGTCCATCATTCTGGAACCGAAAAAGTTCACACATGGCATAAAAAGGAAAAGAGAGAAAATATTCAAGGGAAATAACAGTTTGCCAATATTTTATTTTCTGCAAAAAGACAACTCCAAGGATAGCTTCCTTTAAGCTGGCCAATTCAAACTTCAAGAATCCCCTCCTATTTAGTTTAAGTTCATTATTGTCATCCCTTCTCATCAAGTATTCAAGATATAAAAAAAAAATCCTGAAATACAAGCACTTTTATCAGGTTTAACAGTATAGTGAAGGGACTAGTACTCCATTGTACCCTAAACTATACCTCCTCCAAAAAGTAATAAAAAGAAATTGTATATATACTCTTCGTGTAAAGATTCTTTAATTGGCTTTTCAGGCAAGAAAACAGCTACACAAGGATTTGATCAGCTGATAGAAAAGCTGACCAGAAAGTTAAATTAAGACAACAAATGTATAGGACCTAGTGTTTTCTTTCCATGAGAGTAAGTAAAAAGGATTTCCTTCATCCAGCAGGCATAAAGTTTTTATTTATTTTACCATGTTACTCTTGCAACGACAATATTATACATCTTTTTGTTAGTCTCTTTTTCTGTTTCTAATTTTAAATATAACATCAATAATTAATATTAAGTATTTTCACCAAAAACACGGACACACAAGTAGCGGTAACTTAAGTTATTCCTCAGAGAGAGATTATAGAGAAACAAACTTCTTTCCTCATTTTGTGGATAAAAGTGAAAGAAGGGAACTATTGTAGTTTTGAAAGGAGTATCTAAAAAGGTAAAATACATACTTTAGAGTAATTTCTATGGCGATAAGCCAGAAATGTAAGATCTGCAGATTCTCTGAAGTGATCATCCATAAACTTAAGGTAATCTTTTATCAGATTGCTTAAATCTGCCCACAGGGGAGATGCCAACATCTGGGGCAACATGTGATGTGAAACAGTTTCCATCAAGATATTCTTCACATCCAATGATTTATACCTAAAAAGGAGAAACAAAAAAAAGAGTAAATTTCGTACCTAGAGAAGAGGATGATGACATTTAGAGGAGCTAGAAACATGTCAGAAAAGTGATTAGCATTGTTTACTTTGATACAAAAGTAATGTTTTCAGTATTAATCACATAATCCCACTTACCTTTCATATGCCAAGGAAAGGGCACCAAAGTGTGAATATAAGTGCAACAATAAGATTTTGTACTGCCATACATATCTGCCAAAATGAGCACACAGGGACAGATGTTATCTCCAAGAATAAGAATTTCACTAGCAAAACAAAGAGCTTTCAAACAGAAAGCAGAAAATTTTAGCCAAAAGTTATTTTAATGCACTAACACTATCAACCAGCCACCACACATGGTCATCTCATTAACCAATATCAATTTCTCGAACCAATAAGTCAAATTAAGCAAACAGTGATTTTCAATTAAAATTAATTATTTATTAGACGCTGAAAAGCCAAGTGAGAAAATAAGCATTTCCTAACCTTCGGATGGTTAATCCAAACTCCAAAACCATAATCGCCTCAACGAAATAGCCAAGATTTCTCGTTCGCCAAAATAACTAAATCCAAAAAGAAATTTATCTTAAGCGAATATTAACCTTAGAGATATAAATAAGGTAGTTGCTGGAAAAATAAAAGACATCTCAATAACTTGTCCGGTAAAATCATATGCAGCACAAACCAGAACCAAAAACAACATGACATAACAGGAAAACATGCACCCACAAAGTAAAATGTACATTCTTCTATCCAGTTATGCAGATATTAGCAAGCAGAGGAAACATAAGAGGGAAGATATATATCCTGCTGGCCGATTAGAGTTCATAGCGAGGTAACTCTAAATCAAAGACTATCTGAGAGAACATACCTCTTCAGCCCTTTGAGAAATGAGGTAATCATGACATCAGACAGGCACTGAAGTCCACCTCAGAGATCCACAAATTTCAACAACAGACACTTCTACCTATCTCTTTTAAGGTAATTCTAATGTAGCTAATTCCTATCAAATTTACAATCGTTACTAGCGGATGAGACATTATGCTCCATCCCTTATATCTTATATAATATACAACAACAACAACAAACTAAGCCTTATATCCCACAACTCTGGAGTCGGCTGATATCTTATATAATATGAAAGTTCTAACTATCAGAACCCTATTTATTTTTCCTCACATGGTAAGCAGATCAAACTTATTTCAATTTATTTAGTTTATCTTCGTATTGTAGTAAAAAACCAACCTAAGATAAAAGGTGTCAAAACTGCACACTGAAACAAAGTTGATTACAAGCAACCTTATAGTCCTTTTCCACTCCACCAAAACCAGTCCTAACATAACTTACACAACGCATTTATCATCACTCTAAGATGTTTCTTTGATGGAAACTGTGGATGCACCACAAGAACAAGAATCAAGCATATATTATAAACCACAACCCAAAAAAGAAAGAAGTACTGAGAACCTAAATAGTGAAAACACTAATTGTAGAATGCCCAGATGGAAGAAATACAAACTACAATTTAACAAAGCAATTTGAAAAAAAAAAGTAGCAGACTTGAATGGCGAAAGAAAAAAAAAAGCAAGTGCACCTGAACCAACACATTGCAGACAATCGATAACAGCTCTTCACCATGCATACTCTCTTGCGGATCCAATTCCTTGGAAAGTGGAAGGTTTTTACGGTACAACTCAGCCATTTGTACAGCAGACCCTTCAAGTTCTGGGAATGAGAGTTATATAATAGATCTTTAATTAAAAATATAACAGTGCAACTGAAGGTAAAGTAACATAATACACCATTGCACAATCCTCATATTAGTCACTAGATGTGTGATGAGACTCACCACCCACAGAAAGCCTGAACATGTTTCCAATCAGTTCTTGTGTTTTCAAAAGTGTTATTGACTGCCCCAGTGCTTTAGTCGGCACTGCTGAAAGGGAGTTTGAGTTTTTCATTAACTTGTCCAGAAACTCCATCTTCTTTTCTGGTGATACTACTTGAAGAAAGGCCTCAACATCAGAAGTGAAGCAAGCAAGGTGTCCAAACCTGTACTTAGCAAACAAAAGCTCTATTGTTAATAAAAAGTTAATCATGTGTATTTGTCTTCCTAGAAGTGAACGTGCAACCAATGCAAATAGCATAAGATTCACAGCATCATTGCTGCAGATAATTTTGGCAACAACAAACTTAATCAATCAAACAGCAGGAAAAGAAAGCAACAGAAACAGGAGTATTAGCAAGTTAATAAATTCACAACTCTATCAAAATCGATAAAAACCAATTGAAAAGCAACCCATTAGCAGGAAAAATGTTGTATGAACAGACCACAATAAGATAAACCCAAAGCTCAGGCTAAATAATTACCAGATACATGAAAGATAGAACAGTACATAATAACTCAGTAAAAAACTTTAATTGAAGGCCAAGGCATACCTTGAATAATATTGCAAAAGGGCTTCTATAAGATCATCATCGTTGTTCTTTCCAAATAGGAATTTCCTCCTTTCAATTTCAAGATGTGCCAAGTATGGATTTCTTAAAGAATCATTACTAGCTTCTGCTCGTAACTTTTGTACAAATGCTGAAGCATTTGATATGCGAGAATCAAACTGCAGATTGACCAGATTGAATTTTCAATACAATATTGTTGCATAGCACTACATGAGAGCTGACACATAAAACTTAGCAAGTAATATTCAAAAGTTATTAATAATATACCACTTCATCCGTCAAGTGTGTAAGCTTGCATTCCACAAATTTTGGGGGATGAATTGGAGCATTGATTGTTTCATTGGACCAACAGCTGTCATCCTCAAATAAACAGCCTAGATAATGTAGGAAAGCCTCCCAATCATCCGCACTATTAGTAACAGAAAAAGAAAAGAAAAAACCAGACTGTTAGAGATGGTATGTTCAGGAGTAAAAAATTCAACTTAGAACCTAAGTACATGCTAGTAACCTGCCATAGTTACTGATGCATAGTTTTGCTATAAATATCTGTAACATCCATAAGCATACCATAGTTCTAAGATTTTCTGGTATACATTGGCAGCAGTGGCATAGTCACCTGCCCGAGCAAGAAGCTTCCCCTGTCAACTTAAAGTCAAAGAACATAATTTGATAAGAAAAGAAAAGCAGAACAGCAACTCCCCATGAAAATAATGTGCAATCTTACACATCACAATGAATTTTAATGATGAATTCCAGGTAATTTACATCTAAGTCCAGGATATATAAAACATGCATTTTCAATAGGTGAAGAGTATGTGCAAAAGATATTTCCAATATCAACATTTATATACTATTAACAAGTAGGAAATGTAAGCTTCAGAAAGTACCTGTATCCGTAGCTTATCAACTTCAATCATCAGAAGGGATCCTAATTTCCCCGTGAGAATTTCCAAAGCATCACTATATTTTTCTTGTTGCTCCAATATTGAAAAGTAGACAATAAGAGCTGTACAGATGTAGGATTGAATATCATATGTACATGAGAACACAAGAGCTGCTCTCCAGGTCGCCTGCCAAGGAAAAGAGATGGAAACAGAAATTTACCTTCAGGCTCATGCAAGCTATGAGAAGCAACATGCTTCTTAAGTAAACCCTCAGCTAAGAGTAACAGCTTCTCTCCACCATTGCCACAAAGAACCTGACAGAAGTTCAGACCCCACAAAGTAAGCAGTTGAAGTAGACAAATTATATGTTATAGGTAATTAGTTATTCTCCTTGAAAATGATGAGGGAGTCATCTATAACACTCTTGTAGAGTGCATTCCAGTATAAAGTTCCATGAGACAATCAAGTAGGACTATAAATTCATTCTAAAAATAGGATAAACCAAGCAAATCTGTAATTAGTTCCTTGAAAACCTTTTCAGTTATGCCAATAACACCAACAAGGCAACAATAACCCTTCTGCCAATATTACATAGTATGAATTAATACATAAAGGACAAAAGGCAAGAGTATTTGACATCTATTTCCTATGAACATGTCTGGCTATTGTTTTTGTTGTTGGATGATTAAAAAAATAAGAATATTTTATGAACTATATATCTCTTTAGAAGAAATGTTAATCAATAGTCTTCTATTGTTCTACAAACAAGTGGAACTATCAAATCAGAGATCTTTTTTTTAATGGACCTAAACAAACTTATCAGAAGGAATTGAAATTTGAATTCAAACTGAAGAAATAGGATTTTTGAAAAACTTTTGTAACAAACGACTAAATCACAGCAGCCTTTTGAAGCCTGACACCGCCTTAGCACTTTCAGTACATATTTTATACTTCTGAAAAGCCTAGACCAATTCTATGTATTTTCATAGCAGCTGGCATCTCAAGAGGTAAACCTCATGACCCTAAATGACACTGTTCTTAACATCCCCTTTACAGAAAGGACTGCAACATTTTCAAACCTGAAACCAGATCGGACTGTTGAGCCGCTGCAACCATCAACAGGTTCGATCTTGGGTTTGAAGACAGCAAGTTTTTGGAGCAACCCAACTGCATATAAAATATTTTCTTTCAAGATAGTTTTATTAGAAAATATGCTTTATTTAAAACATTTTGACTTGATTAGATTATTTTCAATATGTTTATTTTTTGCATGTTTAGTCACGGCCTTGCCTGGTAGAAACACTGTGCAAAACTTCAGTCGGGACCAACCAAGAAGAGATGGTAGTTTACATTCAATTCCATAGATTGGAAACAATCTTCCACCAAAAATTGTTAATTCCATTGCGCCAGCTTGTTAAAACTTTTTTATTCTAGTTATGAAGAACACACTAACATCGAGTTATTTTTAACGACCACTACCATCAATGACATGTTCAACAAATTTGAGAAAGTGCAGCTTGGAAAACTGGCAGAACCTGCAACTGGATGCTACAAACTGCCCAGAGCAAAAACCTTTCTTCACCAACAAGCTTATACATTTTGATGGCAGTCTGGCAGAAAATAAAAGCCCCGATAAGTTACATCAATTACGAGCTTGTCCTCATCAAAACAGAAGCCCAAAAAATTCCTATAATATAAAAACAACATAAAAGAAATGGAAACACAAACCTGTTGCTGCTTAACAAACGAATACTCTCGAACATAACAGTTGAAAAGCCCCATCATTAGTTCCAAATTGTTTGGGAATTTCCCACAGGCATGCTCGTAACAGCTAGTAGCCAAATCCACTGATAATTACCAAAAACAAAAATCATAGAGAGAGACACTTACCGACTATCAACAATTAAAAAACTAAACAAATTAATGCGTTGATCAATTGAGCCAAAAATAAAAAAAACTTACAATGATCGAGTCGTTGGAAAACAATTTGCAGCGTGCTAAGAGTGAGATCATCCATTAACAGAGACTCATCCCTACACAAAAGCTCTTTCGCATTTAAACAAACAGATAGTGCTTCGTCGGATTTTCCCATCCTTTCCAATATCAAAGCCTTGAGAGCCTGCAAATAATCAAGATTCAAAATAATTTAAGCCATCAAAATAAGACTAGTTATCGAAGCTTAAAATCGAATATTGACTTACAAGAGCGTAAGGAGAATGGGGATGTTTGGAAAGAAGAGTGGTAGTGATTTTGAGAGCAGTTTTGAACTGTCGAGAATCGATGGCGTCCCAAATGGGTCGGACCCGCCGCTCGGGAATTCCACCAGCTAAGCCGAACTTGGAAGCCATTTTCTGGTTAATTTTTGGGGTTCGAGTCTTAGGATTGGGATCAAAGATTCGTTATCTCTATCTCACTGTGTTACTGGCTTCGTTGCGAGCATAAAAGCTAAGGAATGAATGAAATGAAGGAAGCCGAAGTAAGATGTGGGAAACCTAATCAGAGTGCCTGCCTGTTTGGAAGCGGGTTTAAGTGTTGGATTTTTATGATAACGGTACCGTTCGAATCCGATGAAATTCGATCTGATTTATTTAAATAATATATAATATAATAAAATTTTAAAATTTTATTTGAATTTCAATCAAATTTTTATTTAATTTAAATTAAATTTATCAGTTTGATTCCGTAAATTGATCTTTATTTTTTTATTTTTTTTATTTTACATATTATTTTAATATATTTAAATAAATTTTGATATAAATTTATTATTTTTATTTTATAATAATTTAAAAATATATAAAATTTTAAAAAAATATTTAATTTAATTCGATTTAATTTTTTATATTTTTAATTAAAATTTAATTTAATTTTAATATATATTTAATATTTAAATTTAATTCGAATAAAAAATAATTTAAATTAAATTAAAATATTATAATTTCAAATCAATTTTTAAATTTTGTTTCTCACTCCTCCTGATTTTTACCCTTACCAAGATCGCGTTGCATCGGGTTCAAGGGTTGTATTTGGACGTTAAACTCCTTTTAGTTTTTACGTTTATTTTACTCGAATGGACCGACCCACCCAAGTTTCACTTTTATATCTTTTTCGAGCTTTTTTTTTTATTAATTATTATTTTTTAAAATCAATAAATTAATTGTTTCTTTTAAAATCATTAACTAAAGGTACTATTATTCTTTTGAAATTGAACCATCCACACACACCATTAAATAGTTTTTAATGTTTTGGTGAAGCATTTATTCATTAAGATGTGAATGGGAATACTACTTCAAATATAAATTTGAAAATCATTGAATAAATAACTTTTATACATATTCTTTAAAACTTAAGAACCTTCAACTTATACATATTCTTTAAAACTTAAGAACCTTCAACATTGGTATTCACTTATTTATCCTATAAAACATTGGTCTCACTTAAAATAAATTGTGCATATTTATTTTATTAAAAATAAAAAAAAATATTTTAAAAAAAGTGTTAAGCCCTTCTATAAATTTTTTTTATTTAAGTTTTTAAATTAATTGTTTCACAACTTAGAAAATACTAGTATTTATTTACCATAGATATTCATTAGATCAATATTTGATGTGTTTCAATTTCCAAATTATTTTTTAATTATATTATAATTCATGCGACGTACAAAATAATTTCATATATTATAAATATAAATTAGTATTCTTTTTAAAATATATTCAAATATTTCAAATTTATAACATATATAAAATTTTATATTTGACTAATTTATCATATAAAATAAATTTTAAAAAAAGCAACAATAAAATGATATGTCTTCACTTTGCACCGTCGTTATCTACAATAATATTTATATACCTAAATTTTGTATCAAATAAAAATAAATTACATGTATTTCTTAAAAAAATAAAAATTTATATTATTGAATGATAAATTAAATAATAAAAGAATATAGACATATTTTTACTTTTGTAATATTATTGAAATTACTATATAAAATAAGAAAAAAATGTTAGGAGACATCTGAAAAGAAATTGCAAAAAATATTAATGTTCATGAGAACAAACTTAGTAATAGAATATACTTTGAAAAAAAGAAATATGTCAACCAAAAAATAAATAACAATAGTAATGGAATTCAAAACAGTTGCAAAGTGAAAAACAAAAATAATAATATAACATATTACATTTATAGTTTTTAATTTGTAAAATAATTCTTTGATGACAATTAAGATTGAATAGATAAATTTTCAAATGATATTTTACAAAAACTAAAGGAATATAATAAGTGATAAAAATTAAATAAAAAATTTTGCCTATTTTTTAAATATAAAATTAATAATTAAAGTTAAGATAGATATATGTCTTATTATGTAGAGATTTAATATGAAAAGACTATTTAAATTTTGAATATCTTAAGTAAAATTTAAAATATATATGTTTTGTTTGATACAAATTAAAATAAAAGCATTTAGTGAATTTTTTGAAAGATTTGGATAAACTTAATTTTTATAATTTTAAAACATATTGAAAATTTTTCATAATTAAATAATTTATTAAATAAGATTATTTGGTAAAAAATTAAATTTTTTTAGATAAAATTAATATTATATATATTTTTAAACATATTTTTAGATTAATTTGATTTATAATTATAATTTAAATAAATTTTATATTTAAATAAATTTAAGTTTATTTAATTTGTAATTAAGAGAGGTTATATACTTAAATGTATATATCATATATGTCATTTAAAAAAATTGTCCATGTTCATGTAATTCAAGTTTATATAATTTATAATTAAAAGAGACTATATTCTCAAATATATATATATATATATATATATATCATGCATACCATTTAAAAAAGTTGTTCACATAGACATCTATGTGATAAACTTTATTAGGTGTCTCTCTATATTATAATATAATAATAAACTAGATTGTGATCCATATGCTGTATAGTATAAATTTACTTATTTCATGTATGTATATATATATATATATTTAAATTAGTATTTGTTTTAATTATTTTTTGAATTTTCAAATTTATTACATATAAAATTTTTTTTATCTGACTAACTTATCATAAAAAATTTAAAAAACAAGAAGAAAATGATTTATTTTCATATTATACCATATTTATTTGCAATAATATTTATATACCTAAAAGTTATATCAAATAAAAATAAATTACATGCTTTTCTTTAAAAAATAAAAAATATATATATTATGAACAATGAATTAAATAATAAAAAATTATAAATATGCTTTCACTTTTGTAATCTTATTCAAAATACTATTTAAAATGTGAAAAATGTTACGAAACGCATGAAAAAAATCAAATGAAAAAATATTAATTTTCATAAAAACGAACTTGTAATAGTGGTAAAATATACATTGAAAAAAAAAAAGATGCAAACCAAAAAATAAATAAATTGTAATAGCAATAGAATTTCAAAAAGTTGCAAATAAAAAAAAAATAATATAACACATTACATATATAATCTTTAGTTTCTAAAATAACTCTTGTATGACATTTAAAATTGAGTAGATAATTGTTAAATTGATATTTAAAAAAATTAAAAAGGATATAATAAGTGATAAAATTAAATCAAAATTTTTATCTATTTAAATTAAATTAAATTAAATTTATCAGTTTGATTCCGTAAATTGATCTTTATTTTTTTATTTTTTTTATTTTACATATTATTTTAATATATTTAATAAATTTGATATAAATTTATTATTTTTATTTTATAATAATTTAAAAATATATAAAATTTTAAAAAAATATTTAATTTAATTCGATTTAATTTTTTTATATTTTTAATTAAAATCTAATTTAATTTAATTTTAATATATATTTAATATTTAAATTTAATTCGAATAAAAAATAATTTAAATTAAATTAAAATATTATAATTTCAAATCAATTTTTAAATTTTGTTTCTCACTCCTCCTGATTTTTACCATTACCAAGATCGCGTTGCATCGGGTTCAAGGGTTGTATTTGGAAGTTAGACTCCTTTTAGTTTTTACGTTTATTTTACTCGAATGGACCGACCCACCCAAGTTTCACTTTTATATCTTTTTCGAGCTTTTTTTTTTATTAATTATTATTTTTTAAAATCAATAAATTAATTGTTTCTTTTAAAATCATTAACTAAAGGTACTATTATTCTTTTGAAATTGAACCATCCACACACACCATTAAATAGTTTTTAATGTTTTGGTGAAGCATTTATTCATTAAGATGTGAATGGGAATACTACTTCAAATATAAATTTGAAAATCATTGAATAAATAACTTGTATACATATTCTTTAAAACTTAAGAACCTTCAACATTGGTATTCACTTATTTATCCTAGAAAACATTGGTCTTACTTAAAATAAATTGTGCATATTTATTTTATTAAAAATGAAAAAAATATATTAAAAAAAGGGTTAAAACCTTCTATAATTTTTTTTATTTAATTTTTTAAATTAATTGTTTCACAACTTAAAAAATACTAGTATTTATTTACTATAGATATTCATTATATCAATATTTGATGTGTTTCAATTTCTAATTTATTTTTTAATTATATTGTAATTCATGCGACGCACAAAATAATTTCATATATTATAAATATAAATTAGTATTCTTTTTAAAATTATATTCAAATATTTCAAATTTATAACATATATAAAATTTTATATTTGACTAATTTATCATAGAAAAATAAATTTTTAAAAAAGCAACAATAAAATGATATGTCTTCACTTTGCACCATCGTTATCTACAATAATATTTATATACCTAAATTTTGTATCAAATAAAAATAAATTATATGTATTTCTTAAAAAAATAAAAATATATATTATTGAATGATAAATTAAATAATAAAAGAATATAGACATATATTTACTTTTGTAATATTATTGAAATTACTATATAAAATAAGAAAAAAAGTTAGGAGACATCTGAAAAGAAATTGCAAAAAATATTAATGTTTATGAGAACAAACTTAGTAATAGAATATACTTTGAAAAACAAGAAATATGTCAACCAAAAAATAAATAACAATAGTAATGGAATTCAAAAAAGTTGCAAAGTGAAAAATAAAAATAATAATATAACACATTACATTTATAGTTTTTAATTTGTAAAATAATTCTTTGATGACAATTAAGATTGAATAGATAATTTTTCAAATGATGTTTTACAAAAACTAAAGGAATATAATAAGTGATAAAAATTAAATAAAAAAATTTACCTATTTTTTAAATATAAAATTAATAATTAAAGTTAAGATAGATATATGTCTTATTATGTAGAGATTTAATATGAAAAGACTATTTAAATTTTGAATACCTTAAGTAAAATTTAAAATATATATGTTTTGTTTGATACAAATTAAAATAAAAGCATGTAGTGAATTTTTTGAAAGATTTGGATAAACTTAATTTTTATAATTTTAAAACATATTGAAAATTTTTCATAATTAAATAATTTATTAAATAAGATTATTTGGTAAAAAATTAAATTTTTGTAGATAAAATTAATATTATATATATATTTTTTAAACATATTTTTAGATTAATTTGATTTATAATTATAATTTAAATAAATTTTATATTTAAATAAATTTAAGTTTATTTAATTTGTAATTAAGAGAGGTTATATACTTAAATGTATATATCATATATGTCATTTAAAAAAATTGTCCATGTTCATGTAATTCAAGTTTATATAATTTATAATTAAAAGAGACTATATTCTCAAATATATATATATATATATTTATATATCATGCATGCCATTTAAAAAAGTTGTTCACATAGACATCTATGTGATAAACTTTATTAGGTGTCTCTCTATATTATAATATAATAATAAACTAGATTGGGATCCATATGCTGTATAGTATAAATTTACTTATTTCATGTATGTACATATATATATATTTAAATTAGTATTTGTTTTAATTATTTTTTGAATTTTCAAATTTATTACATATAAAAAATTTTTTATCTGACTAACTTATCATAAAAAAATTTTAAAAAACAAGAAGAAAATGATTTATTTTCATATTATACCATATTTATTTGCAATAATTTTTATATACCTAAAAGTTATATCAAATAAAAATAAATTACATGCTTTTCTTAAAAAAATAAAAAATATATATATTATCGAACAATGAATTAAATAATAAAAAATTATAAATATGCTTTCACTTTTGTAATCTTATTCAAAATACTATTTAAAATGTGAAAAATGTTACGAAACGCATGAAAAAAATCAAATGAAAAAATATTAATTTTCATAAAAACAAACTTGTAATAGTGGTAAAATATACATTGAAAAAAAAAAAGATGCAAACCAAAAAATAAATAAATTGTAATAGCAATAGAATTTCAAAAAGTTGCAAATAAAAAAAAAATAATATAACACATTACATATATAATCTTTAGTTTCTAAAATAACTCTTGTATGACATTTAAAATTGAGTAGATAATTGTTAAATTGATATTTAAAAAAATTAAAAAGGATATAATAAGTGATAAAATTAAATCAAAATTTTTATCTATTTTTTTTAAATATAAAATTGATAGCTAGATTTAAGATTGACATAGATCCTATTATTTAAAGATTTAATATAAAAAGACTATTTGAATTTCAATATTTTAGGTGAAATTTTGAAAAGATAATTTTTTATATATAAATTAAGATAAAAGAATAAAGTGCATTTTTGAAATATTATAATATTTTTAGTTTTAAAACATGTTGAAAATTTTCATAAATAAATAATTTATAAAATAAGGTTAATTGGTAAAAAATTAAAATTACATGGATAAAATCCATATTTCAAAAATTTAATTAAAAATATATCTAGATTAATTTGATTTGCAATTATATTTTGAATATTTTTAAATTTTGAATAAATTCAAAATTATTCAATTTGTAATTAAAATAAAATATATTATTTAAAAAAATTATCTTACATATCATTTAAATAAGTTATTTATATAAATATCTATATGATAAATCTTATCAGGTGTTTATAACTATTGTAATATAATAATATATATAATATGATACGATTGGGATCCATAAAAAATATGTTTAAATCTTAAGATAATATTTGATATCATTTTTAAAAGTATCAAGATAATTTAATTATCAAATTTATTTTATCATTTATGATTTGAAATTATTTTATTTATTTAACATTTATTTATTTTTTAAAATTAAAATATTATATTTAATATTATTAAAAATTAAATAATTATACAAATTAATAATTTTAATTAGATCCATGAGATTCCGACTTCCAAACTATTGCTTCAACAGGAAAGCTAACAGCAATCTCTTGCACCCACTTTCTAACACTTGTGTTATTAAAGAGCCACGTCATCTCTCAATTAAAACACGAAAACAAAAAACTTATGATAACAGATTGTTTCTTGATTTTTTTTTTCTCTCTATCGTGCAGAATTAGAGAAAAAAAAAATCAACTTTTGAGCTGTCAAACTGTAGCCATTTAATGCAACTCCCCTGCCTTCAAAATCATTTTTTATAGTAACCCCACAAATTCTCAAACAGTATATTTTTCTTCACTTTGAGTATAAAATCAGCATGAAATAACACATCAAGATAATAATTAATGTTTGTTAGCCCGAATGATAATTTTTTTAAGTAAAATTTTAAATTTAAATTTTGTGAATGAAAAAAATAAATATTAAAAAAAATTATCTTTTAAATTTTGATTTGATTCTATAAATTAATCAAAATTTAAAATAATTATTGAATATTAAAAGATCTCAAACAAAATAAAACAAAATAAAACACATCAAAATAATACATAAATACATCGTTGGATCCTATGTCCAGTGATGATAAAAAAAATTCCAACACAAGATAAAAATAAAATTCCTTAATCACATCTTGACAAAACACCCCTCAAGCATAACTATTTGCTTAGATAAAATAAGAACTGAATATGCAAGGTTTCATCCTAACTATTTACTTAGGTAAAATAAGTATTGAATATGCAAGATTGCATCCCAACTTGACAACATGTCTCAATAACCCAATTAACAAGCTCCATCAACCAAAAGTTTACCGCAGCCCACAAGCAAAAAGAAGAACCAAAAAGGGGAAAAAAGAGCAAAACAGGAAGACAAAAAACCATCAAAACAAAGAAACAAGATTTTGAGGTCTCTTAACACCCATTTTTCATTAAAGACCAAAATATGTTCACATTTAACTCATCTAGTAGATTATTTTCATAAAACTATTTTAATCTAAGAATGGAAGTATTGTCTGTACCAAATTAAAGGGAGGATCTGTAAAAAAAAAAAAAAGATAATGAAATTTATTTAAATATTAGGAACCATGTTTCAAATTTAATGGAAGAGGAGACGTGGCTTGTCATGTACAATGGGGGTGTTGGGGGACTGTTCCCAGCATTTCCCTTGCTTCAATTTGGTTTTGGACGGAAATAACATTTTTAGACCTAAAAACTTTTTTTAAGATAATAGAGAATAAATCTCAAGTTGAACATATACGTAACGGATTTGAGGTGATCTTGGAGGCACCGTATCACTGAAAAAAATCCAACCATGATTCCAAAGTCCAGATCCATATTCATTGCAAACCCGAAAACGGGCCCATCAGCAGTTGAAGAAACCCTGACGAAAAACCAAAAAACGAGCCGGTTGTCGTTTGGTTTCTTATCTTTTCTGCTTATCCACACCTTTTTCACATTTTTCCATGCCCCCGACGCTCAAGCCACGTGCGAGTGCGACCTTTCCCTCGATCTTCTTCTCCCACATAGCACCCCGGCGTACTGCGCACCCTTGCCCACCACACACATGTCGATGATATCGAAAACCCTGACGCGCCCTTTTTGATAAGCTGATTCCAACTCATTTAATTTTTTGTTTTTTGTTCTTTTTCTTGTCCTGGGAAATATCTACTAATTCAAGAAGATGATGGGCTCTGAGAACCAGGGCTTCGAAGAAGCTCACCTCTTCGCTTCCCGTGAAGAAATGGAAAATCTCGTTCTTGACGAGCCTCTCAGCAACCATAACAACCATCAGAACAATAATTCCTACTCTAGTTATCGAAGCGCCACGTCATCAATCTCCGACACGACGCACCACCCGCTGTCCCCGCCGATCCTTGCGACTCCAGCCGACTCCGATCCCTTGCTTTCCCCTCCACTCTATCGTAACCTTAACGCATCTGATAATAACTCCTACATCGAGCCTCCTTCCTACTCTGATGTCATCTTCAGTCCTTTCGATGAGAACTCAGTCAACGAAATCAACGGCCTCGATTCGCCTTCTAAGAATCCAGAATCTTCATTGACGCTTTCCAGATCGCCATCGTCCAGCTCAGATTACGTCAAAATTACGGTTTCCAACCCCAAAAAAGAGCAAGAGACCGCGAATTCACTCGTGCCCGGAGGTAATACTTATTACACTTATTTAATTACGACGAGAACGAATATTCCAGAATTTGGATCCTCCGAATTTAGTGTCAGGAGAAGGTTTAGGGATGTAGTCACGTTATCGGATCGGTTAGCGGAAGCTTACCGTGGATATTTTATTCCGCCGAGGCCGGATAAAAATGTGGTGGAATCTCAGGTGATGCAGAAACAAGAATTCGTTGAGCAAAGAAGGGTTGCATTGGAGAAATATTTGAGGAGGCTGGCGGAGCATCCGGTCATTGGATTAAGCGATGAATTGAAGGTGTTTTTGCAAGTGGAAGGGAGGCTTCCATTGGCGACAAGCACTGATGTGGCTTCACGGATGCTTGATGGCGCTGTGAAGTTACCGAAGCAGTTGTTTGGGGAAAGTACTGCGGTGGTGGCGCCTCACGAGGTGGTGCAGCCTGCAAAAGGCGGGAGGGATTTGTTGCGGTTGTTTAAGGAATTGAAACAGTCTGTAGCAAATGATTGGGGTGGTTCTAAACCGCCTGTAGTAGAGGAGGATAAGTTGTTTATGGAGAAGAAAGAGTGGATTCATGATCTTGAGCAGCAACTCAGCAATGCTTCTCAGCAGGTAATTTTAGTGGTTTTTCAGGAGTTTGAAATGTACATTTGAATCTTGGATAAAGTTTTTGATTATGGTTTTTGTTTGGGATGTTGTTAAATTTCATTTAGGCTGAGGCACTTGTTAAAGCACAGCAAGATATGGGGGAGACAATGGGAGAATTAGGTTTGGCATTTATTAAGTTGACTAAGTTTGAGAACGAGGAGGCTATTTTCAATCCTCAAAGAGTACGGGCTGCTGACATGAAGTGTTTGGCAACTGCAGCAGTCAAAGCTAGCAGATTTTACCGAGAACTGAACGCGCAGACTGTCAAGCATTTGGTAATATGCAAAAAAACTGCACCTCATTTTACTTTTTGAACTTAAAAACATGGATTTGAGATGTCTACAAGTATTCATTTGTCGGCAATTTGTTTTGAACAAGAATATGAGTTTGCAATGTGACAAATCTCTAGTAATCAGTAAGTTTGGTAATTGACAACTTTAAGAGGTCTGAAGCTATGTTGAATAGCTGGCTTGTTGATTAGCTTAGAAGCTAGTTATTGTTGTTAGTGCATGCATTACTCGAAATTCAAGGAATTATGCTGGTGATTGCTATTTCTGTTGAGGTTTCTATACTTGAAAAGGGAAGTTCATAATTATTTATAATGCACTTTGTTTTTTGTGCCTTTTAGGATACGCTTCATGAATATCTTGGGCTTATGTTAGCCGTGCATGGTGCATTTTCTGATCGATCAAGTGCTTTATTGACGGTACAAACTCTCCTATCAGAACTATCTACATTGCATTCGAGGGCTGAAAAACTTGAAGCTGCATCATCAAAAATATTTGGTGGTGACAAATCAAGGGTACGCAAGATAGAGGAGTTGAAAGAGACTATAAGGGTTACTGAAGATGCTAAAAATGTTGCCATAAGAGAATATGAGCGGATCAAGGTAAGTAATTTTTATAATATGTTTTCTCTTTATCTGAATTTGAGGATAATTTTTCCCCTTTGTTGTTGATATATGGAATTTGTCTTGTGTTCATGCTATGATTGTTAATATATATGCTTTGTATTTTCATTGCATGTTTTTATCACATAAATATTGGCTCAATGCTAGATATCCAAGAAGTTGTCTGTGATAAAGATAGTTCACTGCTAATTTATTGAGGTTTCCCTCTATGAACAAAGGTTCATAACCACACAACTGATTGAGGTATAACTAGTTTTGCCAATCTATTCTGCCGAATAGCTGGTTTTAGATGGTAGCACTTGTTCAGTCATGTCTATGTGGCTTTCCCACTGTTTTGACTGTTTCAGTTTCCTGTATTTCTTTTATTATTTTTAGGCTGACCCTTATTGACATTTCAGTGCATGCAAGCATGATGCTAGGCAATAAGCATACCTACTCTTTAAACAGCTCTTAGGTCACAGCCTTTATTAAATCTTGAATAAAGCTACTAACACAGGATTTGAAAGAGCAACTGAAGATTTGATAGGATTAACTTAAAGGGAAATAATAATGGTATTAGTAAAACTACGTTACTAGCCATGCAATGCCCCTTACTGCCAGTTCTTTCTCTCTTTATCTTTTCAACTTTCATGTGATAATTTAGAAGAAAAGAAGGGTGCACAACTATACTTAGTTCATGTGCTTTACAAAGATGATCAAGTCGCTTTGAGCTGTGTCTTTTGCGCCAAGCAAATGTACATTGTTGGGTCCTTTTATTGTAGGTTTTTTAGGTACTGATATGATTTGATTTGTGTTTACATTTGCTAGTACATGATCTGCATTTTTATGGTTATCTTCGTCATTTTCTAAGTTTGTTTCATGATGATGTAATTGCAGGAAAATAACAGGTGTGAACTTGAAAGGCTTGACAATGAAAGACGTGCTGACTTCTTGAACATGTTGAAGGGGTTCGTTGTAAATCAGGTAATTTTGATTTTTGTTTTCCTGTCCATGTTGGATGATCTTATCGTGTGGTCAGAGCTTTGATTAACTTGGTTTGAGTATACTTAGTCTACCCATTTGCAAACTTGTTTGATTGAAATTTTAGTATCCTGTGCATAAAATTTATTCGATAAAACTTGTGTTTTCTTTGCTGAAAGCTACATTACTCACTGAACTTTATGTAATCAAGCCTGTTCCTATTGTCTTTGCTTTATAAACCAATGTAGTTGATTTGCTTTTAGATGTATTCGGTTGTCAGTTTCTGACCCTAGTTACTCTTCGTTAAAAGATGGTCCCATGTCACTTTATGGTCACTTCATTGATCATGGGGCTTTCTTGCTTTTACAAGAGGTCCTTGTGGATTTTGTTTGCTACCCTTCTCAAAATGCAATTTGAACAGTTTTAGTTTCCCCTATTTCTACTTTACTATGGGTTGTGGCTATAAAAGGTATAACTAGTGTATTGAATCAATTGAACTCTGTTCCTCCCCCCCCCCCCCCCTCTTAAAAAGGGCCATAGATTCCTGTGTGTTAAGGCTGCTTGTCTGTAACGGGTGGTTCAATTTCTGTTGTCAAAATATTGTTATGTACTTGAGCTTGTACTTACGAATTAAAAAAAGAAAAAATCGACAATGAAGAGAATGCAGTTGAAGCTTTCAACATATTAACTATTTATGCATTCAACATTTTGTTTCTTAGCGACATTTCTTACAAAAATGTAACAGGTGGGATATGCTGAGAAAATTTCAAATGTGTGGGCAAAGGTTGCAGAGGAGACGAGTGGATATGCAAAAGATAGTTCTTAAATGTTTGGATGTATATTCAAATCCTCAGCCTTCACTTTCTCCTTTCCTTTTTATATTTTTGGTTATTGCCCCCTCCCTACTAGGCGATAGTTTTACATTAGTAATAATGAAGAAAATGGAGCGCTTTGGTTAGTTGTTTTTTTTAGCGCATAACTTTTTCCCTCTTTAATTTGTATCTCAGAGAAAGGTTGTAGCACGACTGTTGCATTTGATTTGATCCTGGAAATTGTTTGTTACAACTTATTTGATATTCTGGCATGGCCTGGCCAGTGACTAAAATTCCTGATTTCTTGATAAATAGTGGTATGGTGGCCCAATAAATAACAATTTTTATATAGTTTCATTAATACAATTCTCAATGTAAAAGTAAAGAATGAAGAATCCACATTTCAAAAAAAACAAAAAAAGAAAAAACGCCATAGATCCATATGTTCTCACGACGCTGGATCTACAATACTAATTCCTTGAAAGAACAGAATCAATGAATCATAAAATAAAGAACCCCATAAATCAAAATGCTCAGACGCGCGATACAATAGCGGGAGCTGCCGCGGCGGTGGCGGCGGCAACAGACGAAGCAGCCCAACTTACAAACCAGAACAATCCCGACCCCAACGGCTCCTGTTCATCAAGAAACAGATCCTTCGGCATCCTATATGCACCGTAAGCACACACAATACCCAGCCCTATCATGATTCCCGATATCAAAAGTGATCCCACGCTCGTCAAAAATTTCACCACCACAGTTAATGCCACCAATATCGCCAGCGTTTCTCTATCCGAGTGCGTTCGGCCCCATATCACCAGCGGCTGGTCCGACGGCCGCAGCGCGTAGAGGAAAAGCCAAGCTGAGATTAGTGACATCAGGATTATTAGAGAGAAAGGGTGGGAGATAAGGGAGAACGCAAGTACACCCGCGAGTACGGTAAGATAATTCGATCGGAAGTAGGAGAAATTCTTGCGTACTCGCGAGGTGGTATCGGAGAAGGAGGCTGGTTTTGGCGAAGGCAGTGCGGTCGATGAGCTCGGTCCAGGGACGGCAGTGAGAGAGAGCGTGGCGGATAGAGCGAGAGATGCGCGTGAGGATGGACGGGAGATTAGGGGTTGTGATGGAAGGTGTAGATTCGGCGTTGGGCTCCGAAGTTGAGACTGGGAGCACTGGATTCGAAGACATTGGTTTGGTGGTGATGAAAGAGAAATTCAAAGAAATCTGAGAGACGGTTGGAAGAAATTTGGTTGAGTATGCTTTGAGCGGAGGAAGAAGACAGGAGACAGTTGGAGAGACTTGATTTGAGAAGCTTACATAAACGGTTTCTGGGATTATTTTGGTGGGGTTTGAAACCGTTGATGGGATAAACGGTTCTGATCGCGTTCTTTTAAATCTAAAGATTCCCCTTTTGCTGGCATTATCGGTCAGTAACGACTGGGTCTGGGGAAGCAGCATTTTTCAAGTAAATTCCTTTATTTTCCGAAATTAATCTTTGGATGGATAATTTAAAAGAGAGAATCAGGCCCATTGATGAAGGCGTCGTCTAAATCCAGTAGGCTCAAAAGATATAAAACAACTACTTAGTGCCAACGGTAAGGCCCGTTGGTAAAGGCTCTGTTTAATTTTGGAAACGCACTAGTAATGAAAAAGAAAATGGTTAGACTTTGTCAACGGAGAGACTTTATGGCAAACTCAACTGAACTCATTATTATTATTATATAGAGTAGTTGGGATGAACTTCTTTCCTCCCTCTTTTTTATATAGTTTGTTGCTCAATATTAAAGTCATTTAACTGTTTTTTTTTCCCGGATATTTAAAATTCTCTTAGGCTAGAGGCTCTCCTCTCCTAACTTCATCAAGAGTCAAAATAAACATTTTAAACCTATGATTAGAAGGAATATAAAAAATAATCTTCAGGGATTATTTTGTTGGTATGGAATTGGAAACCGTTTCGTTGTTTTTGTTTTTAGTTTGAATTTGCGTCTCCAGTCCACCTTCACTCATTCTAAAACCAATTCAGTCTTCCAATATATTACCATCCATAACTATAAGCCAATTTCACTTTCTCTTTTCTTCTTTTTCCATTCAACTCGCTTTATCTGGCTCTTTTTTTTCTTTTAACAAACCGCGTTTCCCAAGGTCTTTTCCGTCATATCACTTTCACTCTCCCTCCATTCCCTCCATCTCAAAACCCATCTCCCTTCATCACTTCCCCTCACGTCTTTCCCTCAAAACTTCTAATTATATTCAACCAAGAGGAAAACGCGGCTGAGAATAGTGTTTTCATGAGCTAAAGTAGAAGCAACCAGAGTTAGAGAGAAGAAACGGTTGACTGTTTTGCACGATGGCTGAGAACGGTGAAGAGAAGCTGTTAGCGGTGGCCAGGCACATAGCCAAGACGCTGGGCCAAAACGACACCATGGCGGACGATATTTTGCAGATCTTTTCAAACTTCGACGGCAGATTTTCTCGCGATAAGTTGTCTGAGAAAATGGTCGACGAGGACCCTCGTGGACGCGCCACGCTCGAGCGGACCCTTAATTCCTTCGATCGTCAGATCTCCCATTACGTGGCGTTTGACCACCCCATCTGGGCTGACATGGCTGATTCTTCTGCCTTCCTTGACGCTATTGACGAGTTAATTGGAACGATCAGGGACTGGAGCCCCATGGCCGCTGAGAAATCCTTCGGCGCTTGTCTTGTACGCGCCGACGACTTGATGCAACAGGCCATGTTCCGCCTCGAGGATGAGTTCAAGTCTCTGGTGGAGCGAGGTGCAGAGTCGTTTGAAGTGAGTCGAAACAACCACGAGTCAACAGGGAACTTATCGTTCGATTCAGACGACGAAAATGAAGAAAACGAAGAAGGTATTCTTCACAACGGTGCGGATCTTGATCACCAGATCCCAATAGCTCAACCGATAACGGACTACGATATCGTAATCGACGCGCTTCCATCAGGAACTATAAACGATCTTCACGAGATCTCCAAGCGCATGGTAGCCGCAGGGTTTGGTAAAGAATGCTCTCACGTTTACAGCACGTGCCGAAGAGAGTTCCTCGAAGAGAGCATCTCGAGGCTAGGGTTACAAAAGCTGAGCATCGACGAAGTCCAAAAGATGCCATGGCAAGAGCTCGAAGACGAGATTGAACGCTGGATCAAAGCCGCAAACGTCGCGCTTCGCATCCTCTTCCCGAGCGAACGCCGGTTATGCGATCGCGTCTTCTTCGGATTCTCCTCCGCTGCTGATCTTTCCTTCATGGAAGTCTGCCGTGGCTCCACCATTCAGTTACTTAATTTCGCTGACGCCATTGCTATTGGAAGCCGATCACCGGAGAGACTTTTCAAAGTTCTCGATGTGTTCGAGACATTGCGTGACTTGATGCCTGAATTTGATTATGTTTTTTCGGATCAGTACTGTTTGGTTCTTAGAAACGAAGCGATTACTATTTGGAAGAGATTAGGAGAAGCAATTCGAGGGATATTCATGGAATTAGAGAATTTGATTCGGCGGGACCCAGCTAAGGCAGCTGTTCCTGGTGGCGGACTTCATCCAATTACACGTTATGTTATGAATTATCTCCGTGCTGCGTGTCGTTCCCGACAGACATTAGAACAAGTTTTTGACGAAAGTAATGTGGTTGTTCCATCTAATAAGCTTGATGATAGAGGTTCGTCTTCGTCTTCAATGTCGGTTCAGATGGCATGGATTATGGAGCTTTTGGAGAGTAATTTGGAGGTAAAGTCCAAGATTTATAGAGACTCTGCTTTGTGTTCTGTTTTTATGATGAATAATGGAAGATATATTGTACAAAAAGTGAAGGACAGTGAGTTGGGGTCACTTTTGGGTGATGATTGGATCCGAAAACACACTGCAAAAGTCAGGCAGTATTGTACGAATTATCAAAGAAGTTCATGGAATAAGATTTTGGGAACTTTAAAGCTTGACAATTCCTCCTTGGCTTCAAATGCGATTGCCAAGTCTATGAAAGAGAAGATTAAGTCATTCAATTTGCAATTTGAGGAGGTATGTAAAACTCAGTCTACTTGGGTTGTATTCGATGAGCAGCTGAGAGAAGAGTTGAGGATTTCAGTGTCTAGGCTTTTGTCACCAGCCTATATAAACTTCATTGGGAGGCTCCAATGTATCCCTGAACTTGGGAGGAACGCTGACAGGCTTATTAGGTATGGCCCAGAAGATATTGAGGCTAGGATTAATGAGTTGTTTGAGGGAGCAAGCGGATCATCCGGTGGCAGGAAGTAAAGGTAACCTGCAGCTAGTGCAAGTTCAAGGATTCTTTTTGTGTCGAGTGAATGGTAGTCTAAAATGATTTGCAGTTTGGTACTAGGTGTTTGTTATGCATTTAGCACAAATTTTCCTCTTCCTTTGTGAATTAAAATCATGGATATTTGCCTGTATTAATCAGAATGTATTCTGGTATTAAGGTGAATTATAATCTTGCACCGTTTTCTTCATCTGTATATAGGAAATCTAATCATACATGATATATTATCATTTATTATATGAGGAATTCTTATTACTGGTTTTTTATTTATGGTAGTACATTATTTTTCTAAGCTGCTATTTGATTTGGTAGGATTTAGATAAACATGAAGTCCTAGTTTCACTTTTTAGTTACTCGGGTGGATAATTGGATACAGCAACTTTATGACTTACCCATCTAATATTCAAATTGTAAAAGCTAATCCATAAGTGTTGTTTCGTTGGGTAGGATCTGTTAAATTGGGAAGTTTCCTTGTCTTTGCTGGGCAATTAACACAAATCGTTTGTACATCTGTTGTAGGCAATTTTGTAATGAAAATGCCATTTGGGCATAGTTGCTTTCAAGAATTGTTAAAGTCCTGTGCATGCTTCTTCTATATGGTAGATGCTACAACTTGATTAGTACGAGATTCATTTGTATGGATTTAGCCTATAGAAATAGAAGTTGCATTCGGCCAATAAATAAAGTTTTGAGATTGACCATTTTCTGCACATATGCTAAAGCGTATAACCTTACCAAAATTACTCCTTTCCAGATCATGCTCGGATGGGCCAACACAAGAATGATTTCTTCCCCAGAATTAGCATTTTATCCCATTGGAATAATGAATGAGTCATTCCTTTCTGTCTTCACCCAATCTATTTTATACTTGATCTAAAATATCCCAAGCCATGATTACTTTCAAGCATTCTGAGTTCAACATTTTCATGCAGCTTCTTGTGCCTATCAAAACAACATTCCTTTTATGGTTGTGAGTTGATATTATTCTCATCCCTGATTGAGCTAGATTCAAATTAATTCATTTGACTTGGGCTTTTTTTTATTTATTCCTTCACTCTGGCTGTATCGACTTAAGAATGATAATTACGTGGTATGGCAAAGAATGACATTTTTTTTTTTTAATTCTGGATAAATGGATACAAAAAAGAAAAGAAATACTATCAGGAGATTGTAGACTTTCTTTTTTTGGCCAAAGGAGATTGTGGATTGAAATTGAATAGATCTGGATCAGGTGACAAAAGACGCGAAAAAACATCAGGGATGTTTTCTGCTTTTTAGGTTCCTTGAGTCAAAATGTTGTGCCTTGTAATTTGGTATATCGTGGGTCCAATGTCTTTCTCTTTCAATTGAAAAAGATTTTGACAAGCTGAAATTGATTGAAAATATAGGAAAAGCATTAAAAGCACAGAATAAAATACTCTATTTTCCATCCTATGACCTGATCCAATCCAACAACATGTCAATAGATAAATCAAGGTGAAAGCTATGGCCTGTGGAAGGGTTATTTAGCAACCAAGAGATTAAAGAAAAAAGAAAGAAAGAAAGCTATGCGTAATGCATTTTGTTCCACTAAAAACTTTGATCACCGGATGCTTTGAACAAGCTGGTTTTCTAAGAAGTTAGCCAGGGCTCTGTAAGCTGCCTCGCTCGGGTGAAAGCTATCCCAAAATAAGAACTGAGAAAGCTTTCCGCATGCAGGAGTCTTTGGATTGCACAAGAATGCCGCTTCCACTAATCCAGTCCGGCAGCATCCTCTTTTTGTGGTTGTGAAACCTACGTCACACCTTACAGAAATCATTCCTCAATTTGCTTCCCATGAAATATACCAACAGTTCCAAGTTAAATACATATTGTGTTACCATATTTTTGTGGATTATTGGCCATTTCCAGAAATCGTGTATATACGTCAGCATGTATAATTGTGCTGCCTGGAAGCGACGCCCGCAGCTGAGAGGTAACAAGTTCTCAAGCTTTTGATTGTAAGACTGAGCGTCTGCATTCTCATCCTCCAAACATGTCCGATTAAGCGGGTGCTTAAGTAGTCTTGCCGTGATTAGAACGGGAAGACAACCCATTGGAGGAAGCCCTGCTATAGCTCTTGTGCGACAGCCCTGATTGTATAGTTCCTGCAAACAACTGGAAGTTACCCTGTTAAAAACAAAACCTAGAGGCTATTAAATTGCTTTTTGGTGAGACTTTTGATATAACCTTGACATAGTCTTGTATTGCTTTTTGGCAGAAAATCTTGAAAGTGGCTAACGTCAAGCTGCGCTCAACGAAAAGGCAAGAGGGAGAGTAATTGAAACCAAAGTCGTTAGTTCCTGCACTGACAACTACCAAAGAATTTTATATGATATTTTTATCTTCCGTGTTACCAACAATTCTACTAAGCTTTGCTGTATAACTCTTAAATTGATCAAGTTGCTTGGACACTGGAATGGCTCGCCTGTTTACACTGGGATGACTCGCCTGTTGCAACAGTGGTAAGATCGTCATATCCTTAACCAGCATGATGCAAAACTAACACCAGTTCGAAGGTCACCAATTTGAGAGATTTGGGTCTAGAAAAAGGAGGGACAGTCTGTTTTATGCCTAGAAAACTGGTAACAAAGTCTGGAATGAGTTTTCCATTTGAAAACATACTCGTAGGGATGTGACTTGAGAAATTTTCCTTTAAAAATCGTACAAATAAAATTGTTGTTCCCAGTACCAACCACGGAGTCACCAAAGATGAGAATGGAGGTGAAATTTGGCACAATTGCAGCCCTCATGAAACTGCATGCTTTGGTGATGATTTGCACCAGTATTAATAGGAGTGTAAGAGCCATTTTTAACTCTCTTTGGAACGATAACTTGGTATTTACATATAAGGTAATGCTTGTATTTAACTCTCAATCTGATATCCAAATCTCAGAAGTTATAATAAAGAGAGCAGCTAGCTCGGAAGAAGAACAATAAAAATTAATTGGTAATTAAATAAATTTAAACAATAAAAATTAATGAGTAGAACAAATTGAAATTCTTAATGACCAAGTAGTAAAAAGTATTTTAAATATATTTAACCAAGAGATATACTAATAAGTAGAAGTTCTTTGTAAATCAAAATTTTTGATGACCCACTAATAGGACTCTTGTAAATTTGGAATTATTAAAATTATGAGTCTATGTGATCTCTAATGAAAGATGGTTTTCTCTAATGTAAGGGTTTTACAAAATTGTAGGGACTTAAAAGATTTGAAAAATATATGCAGGACCATTTGTGAGCTGCAAGAAAAGCAAGTGAAATTTTCTCTAAAAGTAAGACTTTTGATAATAGCCGCCATACTCGGCCACAGTGTTCTTGGAAGCAGGATAATTTGAAGGAGATGCTCAGATGCAATATGAGATTTGTAACCATCTACCAGATTGAAAGTGTGTTCTAAGTGTAAAACTACCAACAAAAAGGTAAGAAACATAATAATATTCGATTGTTCATTCCACTGATTCAATGAATCAGTGGCGCTGATCACACAGAAATTCAGGAAAGAATTCCTTCTTTACGAATTTGGCAACGTTTTGGTCGGTGGCTTGGCCAGGATGAACACTGTCCCAATATAAGAACTGTGAAGCATTTTCACATGTTGGAGTCAACGGATTGCACAAGAATGAAGCCTCCACAAGTCCTGTCCCGCAGCACCATGATCTGTCTGTTACCCCAAATCCTGTCATGCTTTAAATTGTCAGTTCATTCTCAATCAATAATCGAAGCTCTATTTAACAAAATCTAGTTCATCATTTGCTACAATAACTGTAAGGTTTCTCCATTTGTGACTCGGAGGTTGGGAGCTTAATTTGCGCTGACAAATACTAGCTTATCATATTTTTTAAGGTGATTTATCTGTTAGGAAAATGAGGTCCAACCCCATGCAATTAGTTTTGGACCAATCAAAAGCTATAGGTCTTGATCTTTCTTTTTACACAGAGCCCTAGCTGCTTAATAAAAAAGAGGTAGGGTTGTTTTAAGATGGTATCGAAAACCAAGAAGAGAAAAGAAGAAAGCCAGGAAAAGTAGAGAGAAAAAAAAGAAGGGAGAGTTGGTTGAACGGAAGTTGATCCATGGTCCGATTGAGCTGAAACTTTGTCAGCAAGTTTATGATTCAGAGTTCTACATTCTGAACGGTGAAGATTGGGTTTGAAGCTCTCTAGGAATAAATTCGTGGTATATTTGTTGAATTATCTATTTGGTGAGATTTCTTTAATTGTCTCTCTAGTTGTTGATTAGCTCTAGTTTTAGCTAGAGAAGAACTTTGTATATCCATTATTTGATAGTGGAGATTTTTCTGGTGGTCCGTGGTTTTTTTCTCTACATTGAAAAATTTTTCATGTAAATCTTGGTGTGCTTTATTTTTTTTGATTGTTGTTTATTATTGTGGGTTTATTACGATATATTACTTCTGTGTTATTGTGTTTATTGCTTCAGGCATAACAAGTGGTATTAGAGCAAGTTATTTTGAGACAACGATATAGAAGTAGCCCACAACAAAAGTAAATTCTATTTGAGATCATGGAGGGTGATACATGTTGTATTATAAAATTGACAGCATCAAATTATTTAATTTAGAAGCTTATGATGAAGGATCATTTACATTGCAAAGATTTGTATGAGTCGGTATTGAGTGATTCGGCTAAACCAGTAGATATGAAAGATGAAAATTGAAAGAAGTTAGGCAGAAAGACACTGACTGTAATAAAAAAATGAATTGATATCAACGTATTGCATCATGTAGTGCATGAGACAGATGCCTACATTGTTTGAAAAAAATTGGCAGCATTGTATCAAAGAAAAATAGGTATGAATAAAATTATGCCTGTTAAAAAGCTTGCAACTTTATAGTACATGGATGGACGATCGATTACAAAGCACTTGAGTGCTTTTCAAGACATATTTAATCTGGATGACTACTATGAAACTTAAGATGGATGATGAAATGAAGGCATTATTTCTTTTGGGTTCATTGTCAGATAGCTGAAATACTCTAGTTGTGACTGTTTTTAATTTAGCTCATGATTATAAGGTAATATTGGAGATCGTAAAGGACAATATGTTTAATGAAGAAGTAAGGTAAAAAGATATAGACCCTGAGAATCAAGCTCTGGTCACAGAGAATAGGGATAGAAACATCAACAGAGATCATAATTCAAAAGGCCATAGTAAGTCTAAACATAGATGTAAGTCCAGAGATAAAATGAAGTATTTTCATTGTGGTAAAACAGCTCATATAAAATGACACTGTAAAATCTTGAAGCAAGAGTGAAACGATGAGAAAGGTAAGAGTTTAGATGATGGTAATGTTGCAGTAGTGAATTCAGATAGTGATTCAGTTATTTTGATTTGTACACATGATAATTATAATCATGTTGGTGATCCAAATATTTAGTGAATAATTGACACAGAAGCGACATATCATTGTGTTTCTAAGAGAGAGTTATTTACAACTTACAAAGTATGAGACTTTGGTTGCACTAAGATGAGAAACAATGGTGTGTTGCAGATTGTTGAGATTGGTGATATTATTATACAAATTAGTACATGTTGCATGTTGACTTTGAGGGATGTTAAACACATTTCAAATATGAGAATGAACTTGCTTGCTATTAATGTCCTTGATAAAGAGGGATATGAGAGTCGACAAAAGAATGGGCAGTGAAAGCTTCTCAAAAGATATATGATAATTACAAGAAAAAAATTATGCTGCATAATGTACAAGACATTGATGCAATTGAATGGCAACCAGGAAAATGTCGTTGAGAATAATGCTACAGCAAACTTGTGGCATAAGAGGTTGGCACACATGAGCAAGAAAAGGTTACAAGTTTTGACAAGACAGTCTCTCATTCCCTTAACCAAAGGTATATCTTTCGATTCATGTGATCATTGTTTGTTTGGTAAGCATTGTAGAGTTTCTTTACATAAGAGTTCTTAAAGAAAAAATAGATTAGAATTGATTTATTTTGACGTATGTGGTCCCACTAAGGTTGAGTTATTAGGTAGTAGCAGGTATTTTATTACTTTTATTGATGATGCTTCATGTAAGACTTGGGTATATATGTTGAAATACAAAAGTCAGATACTACAGTATTTTCAAAAATTTTATGCAATGGTGAAAAAGATGACAGGATTATCCTTGAAGTATATTCGGACTGATAATGGTGGGGAATACACATCCAAAGCTTTGAAAAGTACTGTTTAAAGTATGAGATCAAGCATGAGATGACAAAACTTGGAACACCCCAGTATAATGGTGTAGCTGAAAGGATGAATCATACCATTATGAAAAAAGTCAAATGTATGTTGAGGATGACAAAATTACTAAAGCCATTTTGGGGTGAAGTAGTCAACACAGCTTGTTATTTGCTTAACAGATCACCATCAATTCTTTTGGGTTTTGACATTCCAGAAAGAGTATGGACAGGAAAATATGCTTCATACTCTCATTTGAAAGTTTTCGGATGTAAAACATTCATGCATATGCCGAAAGAGTAGAGATCAAAGTTTGACAGTAAAGCTACATAGTGTATGTTTATGGGATATGGTGATGAGAAATTTAGCTATAGGGTATGAGATCCAGTGAAGAGAAAGACAGTCAGAAGCAGAGATATAATTTTTCATGAAAAAAAACTATAACAAACCTTGAGAAAAATGATAAGACTACATGGGTTACTGTTAAGTGTGATGTTTTAACACTGACAGAAGTTTCACAGGAAAGAGCCACAGATAGTAGAAATGAGCAAGAAATAGAACTTGGGGATATGAATAAGTCAACCACAGTTAGTGATGAGCCAGATGCAATTAGTTTTAAATAGGAAGAGCAATCCTCTCTACCTGAAAGTATCGAGTAAAGTGAGCTACCTTCGACATTAGGTGATGTAGAGTTTCAACCTAAGAGATCTACTAAAGAGCGCAAGCCATCTACTAGGTATTTAAGTTCAGATTTTATTTTAGTTACCAGTGAGGGAGAGCTAGAGAACTTTCAAGATGTGCAGGCTACTCCGGATAGAAAGCACTGGTTAAAAGTAATGAAAAAAAAGATAGAGTTATTACGAAAAAATGGTACTTATGATCTTGTTAAACTTCTGAAAGAGAAGGGACTGTTGAAAAAATAAATGAGTGTTCAAGTTGAAAAATGATGATGACAAGCTAGTGAGGTACAAAACTTGATTGATGGTGAAAAGTTTTTTTCAAAAATCAGGTATCGATTTTGATGAGATCTTATTTTCAGTTGTGAAGATGAGTTCCATTCGAGTGGTATTAAGATTAACAGTTAGTTTGAATTTTAAGCTTGAGCAACTTGATGTTAAAACTGCATTCTTGCATGGTGATTTATAGGAAGACATTTATATGAATCAATCTAAGGGTTTTGAAGTGAAAGGGAAATAGCATTTAATATGTAAATTGAAGAAAAACTTGTATGGCTTGAAATAAGCTCTGTGATAGCGGTACAAGAAGTTTGATTCTTTTATAGTAAGTCACAGCTATAAAAGAACGATAATGGATCCTTGTGTGTATGTCAAAAAATTTTTTGATAGTAGCTTTATTATTCTCTTATTATATGTTGATGATATATTGATTGTGTGATAAGATGCTAGTATGGTTTACAGGTTAAAAAAACAATTGTCTAAGTCCTTTGATATGAAAGATTTAGGTCCAGAAAAGTAGATTCTCAGTATGGATATTATCCGAGATATGAGAGCTAAAAAGCTGTGGTTGTCACAGGAAAAGTATGTTGAACAAGTGCTTAGTGGATTCAACATGTAACATGCTAAATCAGTTAGCAGTCTACTTGCCAATCATTTTCATCTGAGTAAGAAATATTATCTGATATCTAAAGAAGAGTAACTAGCTATGTCTAATATTCTTTATTCTTTTACAGTCGGTTCTTTAATGTATTTTATAGTTTGTACATGGCTTGACATTGTTCGTGCAGTTGGTGTAGTGAGCATATTTCTTTCTAATCCAGGAAAGGTTCACTGGGAAGCATAAAATAGATTTTTAGATATTTAAGGGTACCTAAAAAATATGCTTAAGTTATAGAGTTTCACAACCAGTTTTAAAAGGGTTTACTGATGCTGACATGGCATACGATCTTGATGATATAAAATCTACTTCAGGGTATTTGTTCACTTTTGTAGAAAGAGCTGTGTCTTGGCAATCTAAGATGCAAAAATGTGTGGCTTTGTCAACTACAGAGGCTGAGTATATTGCAGCAATTGAAGTAGGTAAAGAAATGCTTTGGATGAAATATTTTTTTCTTGAATTGGGGTTAAATCAGAAAGAGTATGTGGTGTTTTGTGATAGCCAGAGTGCTTTAGATTTGAGTAAAAATATCATATACCATATTAGAACAAAGCACATTGATGTTAGATATCATTAGTTACGTTCAGTGATTAAAGAATAGCAGATGCTGTTGAAGAAAATCCATACTGATGAGAATGTAAGGGATATATTAACTAAGACACTTCCTAGGAAGAAGCTTGAGCTTTGCAGTAACTTGGATGGAATAAATTCCTTGGCCAAGGTAAATTCCAAATGAAACTGTTATGGTTATGAATCTCTTCCTAATGGGGCTGGAGGGGGAGATTGTTAGGAAAATGGGATCCAACCCTATGTAATTGGACCAACCAAAGGCCATGGGCCTTAGTCTTTCTTTTTACACAGAGCCCTAACTGCTTAATAAAAAAGAGGTCGAGTTGTTTTAAGGTAGTGTCGAAAACCAAGAAGAGAAAAGAAAAAAAGCCAGCAAAAGAAGAGAGAAAAAAAAGAAATGAGAGTTGGTTGAACGGAAGTCGGTCCATTGTCTGATTGAGCTAAAACTTTGTCAGCAGGTTTATGATTCAGAGTTCTACATTATGAATAGTGAAAATCGGGTTTGAAGCTCTCTAGGAATAAATCCAGGTTGTATTTGTTGAGTCACCTATTTGGTGAGATTTCTCTAATTATCTCTCTAGTTGTTGATTAGTTCTAGTTTCAGCTAGAGAAGAACTTTGTATATCCATTATTTGATAGTGAAAATTTTTTTGGTGGTTCGTGGTTTTTCCCTCTACACTAGAGGGTTTTTCATGTAAATCTTGGTGTGCTTTATTTTTCCTACATTATTGATTGTTGTCTATTACTGTGAGTTTATTGCGATATATTGCTTCTGTATTATTGTATTTATTGCTTTAGGCGTAACATTATCATGTCAACCAATGGCTCATACACTCCTACATAGACAATTTTGCTCCCCGGCTGCAGCTTCGCAATTGAGGTAACAACTTCGCAATCTTGCCATTATAATCTTGTGCATCCGAATTTTGATCTTCCAGGCATCCTCGATTCATGGGATTTCAAAGCTTGATCATGTGAAATGGAAGGCAACCAATTGGACGAAGGCCACCTATCACCATGTTTCGGAATCCAAGATCATACAGTTCCTATATGTAGACTTTTCTGTATCAGTACATAGTTCAAGTATTTGTTTGGTGAACATGTGTCTTGTAAGTGAAGATCAGAGAGAATTGTATTTACCATGACAATTTTTTCTAGACTTTGCTGCAAAAAGGTTTGGTACTCGCTAATGTTGAACTGCAATCTCCGTGTAGGTATATCATAGAAATTGAAAATAAAGTCATTAGTTCCTGCAATATTCACCACCACAGCCCCGCCAATTATCGTCTTAGCCTTTTCTTCACCCACAGTTACCTCAAGCTTCTCTAGGTAACTCCTAAATAGCTCAATTTGCTCAGACAAGGGGATAGAACTAGATAGTTTACTAGTTAAATCGTCATATACTGATCCAGCAGATGCAAAGTTAACACCTGTACGATGATAATTATCTGATAGATTTGGATTCAGGAAAGGAGGGATTGTGTCTTTGATCCCCAGAGAGGAAGCCAAATAGTCAGGAACAAATTTTCCATTTGAAAACCAACCTGTAGGAATGTGACCGGAGAAATCTAGGCCATATGGGGGATAATTGCCCTTAAGATATGTGTTGATGTAGTTGTTGTTGCCGGTATCCACTGTTGAATCACCAAAGATGAAAATTGCAGTGAATTTTGGCAGTGTTGAGGGCTTCATTATGTGGCTTGTGCTGATGCAGTTCATCCAAGTGTGCAGCAGGGAAATAATGAAGAGTGTGCTGGTTGCCATTTTTATCTTATTCTAATTAGACGACTTGGTGATTAATGATGATTATTTATAAAGAAACAAGTCAGGGAATGGTTGATATACTTGTAGCTAGAATTTCCATGAGTAAATATTGGCGGATAAGTATGAAAAACTCTATATTTGAGTGAGCCAACCTGCTTATTGAAGCATTACTAGTTTTGGAGGTGGGAATTAATGTTGGGGTTGTTGTTTTCTTGCTCAAATGCCTTGGACTTAAGTTTCTTGCTTCTGTTGATACCTAATTAGGAACAATTGTATGCTGAATCTAAACCAAAAGTTAAAACTTGAGCTGGTAATGTCAACATGTAAAAATTATCTATAAATAGATAGGTAAAACTTTGTGTTACCGAGACTTTAATTAGTACACAAAATATGCATTATTTCGATAAAAAATGATGCATTAGAAACGCTTGTTAGTACAATCTTGTTCGAACTTAGAAAATTTTTTTTCTTTAAATCAGAATAATTTTAATTTTATCATCAAATTCAAATAAAGACGTATAAACGAAATAAGATTAACTACAAATTATATAATTTTTATGTATATAACATAACGAATGGTTCTAAAAACTCAATTTATGATAAATGATAGTTTTCTTAAATAAAAGTTGGAGATCAATATAAGAATAGGTCAAATTCATTCTAAAACTTCCTAAATAAAAATTTATAAAGGTTAGAATATAAATTGTTTTCCTAAGCTAAAAAAGGCAATACAAAGAAATCAAGCCAGAAGTTCTTCACTTGTCTCGGGTTCTATGTAGCAGTCTATAGTAACTGAGGAACAATTTCCTTCTCAAGGTATTTGGCAAGGTTTCGGTAGACTTCTTGGGTGGGATGAACACTATCCCAAAATATAAACTGTGAAGGTTTTGGACACATTGGTGTCAATGGATTACACAAGAATGAAGCTTCCAGGAGTCCGGTGCCACAGCAACCTATCTTTGTTTCCACAAATCCTGTTTTGCCATACAAAACAGTTAAAAATTGGTTTAATAACGTAAGTAATATTACTTCAAGAAAACAGCAGTAAGATAATTTATAATTACCATATTGCTGAGGATGATTTATCATGTCAATCAATGACTTGTAAGTGTCTGCATACAAAATTTTGCTCCTTGGCAGCTTTGCTTGTATTTCAGGCAACAATTTCGCAAGCTTCATGTTATAAGATTGCGCTTCTGAGTTCTGATCGTCCAAACATCGTCGATTTCTTGGAAACTCAAGTCTGGCTGTCATTTGAATGGGTAGACAACCAATTGGTGGTACACCAGCTACAATCATTTTTCGGCATCCGAGATCATATAATTCCTATAAATTCAAGCATAAGTAATGTATAAATATTGAATACTATAATTTAATTTAAGTCTTGCTTTGGAACAAAAAATTAGTGATTGCTGGTTATAGGTTCAAATCCTCCTGTCTACTTGATATCAAGCACATCCAAATTGAAATTTCTATTGCTACGGGCATTAAATAGACGGTAGGTTAAAGAAAAGCACAGAAAATAGAGAAAAACAGCAGTTCATATCTATTTTCTTTTTTGTTGCTCTCAGAGGTAATAAAGTAAGACATTAGCAAACATGTAATAATTTGAAGTGTAGATAATTAGTTGTGTTTACCTTAACAAAGTCTTCTACCCTCCGCAGCAGAAAATCTTCGTACCCGTTATTGCCGAACTCCAATCGTCTTGTTGGTATGTCGAAGAAATTGAAAACAAAGTCATTAGTTCCTGCACTGATTATAACCAGAGCCTTACCAATGATGTTCTTGGCCTCCTCTTCTCCTACAATTCCCTTAAGCTTCTCTATGTAACTCTTAAAGAGCTCAACTTGCCTTGAAACTGGGATCACATCGGATAATGTAGTAGTTAAATCATCATATCCCGATCCAGCAGAGGCAAAGCTAACACCCGTGCGAAGTTCATCTTCAGATAGATTTGGTTGCAGAAAAGGAGGTACAGCCTCTTTGATCCCCATAGAAGAGGCCACAAAGTCTGGAACAAGTTTTCCATCTGTAAACCTCCCTGTGGGAATATGGCCTGGATAATTTTCTCCATATGGGGGTATGTTAGCTTTAAACAATGTGCCGATATAATTGTTATTACCGGAATCGACTGTTGAATCGCCAAAGATGATAATGGCAGGGAACTTTGGCGTTGTTGTGGGCTTGCCGGGGCTGGAAGTGTTGATGAAGGTCATTGAAACGAGTACTACGACAATAACGAAGAGTTTGGAGGTTGCCATCTCGACTTCTTAAGGGGCAAAGAGAAGCGCTTTTGCTAATGAGATATATTGAGAATTCATAGTGATTAAATGACTATTTATATTTATAATCTTTGCTGATATTAATTAAATTCTAATTAATTCAATACCAATTTGGATTTGAATGGAATTGGTTAAAAAATTAATTGGTAATTAAATATATTTAAACAATAAAAATTAATGATTTGAACTAATTGAAATTCTTAATGACCAAGTAATAAAAATTATTTTAAATATATTTAACCAAGAGATATATTAATAAGTAGAAGTTCTTTGTAAATCAAAATTTTTGATGACCAAATAATAGGACTCTTGTAAATTTGGAATTAGTAAAATTATGAGTCTATATGATCTCTAATGAAAGGGTTTTACAAAATTGTAGGGATTTAAAAGATTTGGAAAATATATGCAGGACCATTTGTGATCTGCAACAAAAGCAAGTGAAATTTTCTCTAAAAGTAAGACTGTTGATAATAGCCGCCATGCTTGGCCACAGTGTTCTTAAAAAGCATAATAATTTGAAGGAGATGCTCAGATGCGATGTGAGATTTGTAACCGTCTACCAGATTGAAAGTGTGTTCTAAGTGTAAAACTACCAACAAAAAGGTAAGAAGCATAATAATATTCGATTGTTCATTCCTCTGATTCAATGAATCAGTAGACCTGATCACATAGAAATTCAGGAAAGACTTCTCAACGAATTTGGCAACATTTTGGTCGGTGGCATGGCTAGGATGAACACTGTCCCAATGTAAGAACTATGAAGCATTTTCACACGTTGGAGTCAAAGGATTGCACAAGAATGAAGCCTCCACAAGTCCTGTCCCAAAGCACCCTGATCTGTCTGTTACCTCAAATCCTGTCATGCTCTAAATTGTTAGTTCATTCTCAATCAATAGTCGAAGCTCTATTTAACAAAATCTAGTTCATCATTTGCTACAATTACTGTAAGGTTGCTCCATTTGTGACTCGGAGGTTAGAAGCTTAATTTGCGCTAACAAATATTAGCTTACCATATATTTTAGGGTGATTTATCATGTCAACCAATAGCTCATACACTCCGACATAGACTATTTTGCTACCTGGCAGCAGCTTCTGCAATTGAGGTAACAACTTCTCAAGCTTGCCATTATAATCTTGTGCAACCGAATTTTGATCTTCCGGGCATCCTCTTCAAGGGATTTCCAAGCTTGATCATGTGAAATGGAACATGTTTCGGAATCCAAGATCATACAGTTCCTATATGTAGACTTTTCTGTATCAGTAAATAGTTCCAAGTATTTGTTTGGTGAACATGTATCTTGTAAGTAAAGATCAGAGAGAATTGTATTTACCGTGACAATTTTTTTTATACTTTGCTGCAAAATGTTTTGGTACTCGCTAATGTTGAACTGCAATCTCCTTGTAGGTATATCTTAGAAATTGAAAAAAAAGTCATTAGGTCCTGCAATATTCACCACCACAGCCCCACCAATCATCGTCTTAGCCTTTTCTTCACCCACAGTTCCCTCAAGCTTCTCTAGGTAACACCTAAATAGCTCAATTTGCCCGGACAAGGGGATAGAACTAGATAGTTTGCTAGTTAAATCATCGTATCCTGATCCAGCGGATGTAAAGTTAACACCTGTACGAAGATCATTATCTGATAGATTCGGATTCAGGAAAGGAGGGATTGTGTCTTTGATCCCCTGAGAGGAAGCCAAATAGTCAGGAACAAGTTTTCCATTTGAAAACTCCCTGTAGGAATGTGACGGAAAAATGTTGGCCATATGGGCGATAATTGGCCTTAAGATATGTGTTGATGTAGTTTTTGTTACCGTTTCCACTGTTGAATCACCAAAGATGAAAATTGCAGTGAATTTTGGCAGTGTTGAGGGCTTCATTATGTGGCTTGTGCTGATGCAGTTCATCCAAGTGTGCAGCAGGGAAATAATGAAGAGTGTGGTGGTTGCCATTGTTATCTTAGTCTAATTAGACGACTTGGTGATTAATGATGGTTATTTATAAAGAAACAAGTCAGGGAATGGCTGATATGAGTAATATTGGCAGATAAGCATGAAAAACTCTATATTTGAGTGAGGCAACCTGCTCATTGAAGGATTACTACTTTTGGAGGTGGGAGTTAATGTTGGATTTGTTGTTTTCTTGCTCAAATGCCTTGGACTTAATTTTTATTGCTTCTATTGATACCTAATTACGAACAATGCTGTGCTGAATCTAAACCAAAAGCCAAAACTTGAGCTGGTAATGTCAACATTAAAAATTATCTACAAATAGATAGGTAAAACTTTGTGTTACCAAGACATTAATTAGTACACAAAATATGCATCATTTCGATAAAAAATGATGCATTAGAAATACTTGCTAGTACAATCTTGTTCTAACTTAGAAGGTTTTTTTTTTTTTTTTAAATTAGAATGATTTTAATTTTGTCTTGAAATTCGAATAAAGACATATAAATACAATAAAACTAACAGTAAATTATACAATTTTTTTGTATATAATGTAACGTATGATTTTGAAAACTCAATTTATAATAAAAGAAAGTTTTCTTATATAAATGTTAGAGATCAATGTCATATTAATCTTAGTTGAAAATGAATTTATGAGATCAATTTATGAATTTATGTGGTGGGGCGGGTCGAACTTCTCAAGTTGGTTAAAGTCTAAACACGGGGTTCAACTTTAAACAAATTGAGCCCAGAAAGCCCAAAAATTTGAGGAGGATTCAAGCCGAAATGGTTTCAACCACAAATCCCTTAGAAGGTTAGAGGAAAAGTTCAAACCTCCCGAGCCCCAATCAATGGAAATTGGTTTCGAGCCCAAAAGATTGTTTCAGCTTTCACAATAGAGGCAGAAGACAGCCCAGCACAGTCTAACCAACTGAGCTACACAAAAGCCAATTTCATCATAATAATATATCAATTGAACTACAAGCTTTGGTTGGGTCAACTACCAACCCATCATTTTGATATGTTTCTATGCTATGCGTGCGCCAATATATACATATATATATATATATATGATTTATAATTAAGAAGAAAAGCAAGGATTGGAATAAGAAAATTCGATAACAAGGTAGTGAAAATCTTGAATTTAATGTCAAATTGATCAAAGCCCAAGACGAAGACCTTTCACTATCAAAATCAAAAGCATTAATAATTGAATATACAAATACAAAATACTAAATGAATTCATGGGTTATCGTGTTTTATATTTGTTTTAATGGTTTTTAAACACAAATAAATCTCTCATGAAATCCTACTCGATGTCCGCAAACATGAAGCAAAATATAAATAGTATTAATTTTCTTCAAAGTAGGCAGAAAGGACATGCTTGAGTTTAATTAGTTTGTAACATGCTGAAGCAGAACCAAACATATAGAATATTGACCAGAGACACTAATATCTCAACCACTTCTGATTTATCCATTGAAAATTCTGCGAAGATTTCGCCGAAGATGTGCAAAATCTTAATAAGTTCAGCATCCATTGTTCGTAGTCGAAGAGGGGGAACATAGTTCAAGGAACTTGAACAACCAAACATGGAGAGTTGCGCTGTCCCAAAAGACTTTGGTTGGTGCTTTCGTATCTATGAAATCTCATGTTTTAGCAGGTTATTGATATAGTCGAGGCATGAGTTTCTTAATATATGTCTCATTTATTACTTACTAAATTAATTAAATTAATTACATTAACTTAATTTAATTGATTCATACAATCAATAACATTTAATAAATTTAAAATACTTTTTCCTCTATTCTTGAACTGTAATATTTATATATATATATATATTTTGAAATACCACTGCTACATTAATTATTAATTCCATTAGGAAAAACCTACAATTAATTCAATCATGTACCAAGAAAAGAAAATATTGAAAAAGACGAACCTTGAGGAATGGTGTCTAGAAAGACTTCGTGGAGCTTTGATATCCACTTTTTATGCAGCTGATCAATTAAGGCATGGCATTTCCAGCTTGGGTCATTAACATGTGTTGGCCCTTTTTTCTATTTTCTTTTTATCTATATATGTTTTTAATTCGATGTCTCCATGCAATTTCTTAGTTTATCTTGCTTTTGTGATTCGACTGGTGTGCGCGTGTGCAACATATATAGATTTTTATTGATGCTTTCGCCCACCTGTCCAAGTTTCGTTTCCCATCTTTGCAATTCTTATAACTATGTTAATGGAATCAATGAATAGTTACTTTCTTCCCAATATTGAAGAGTGACAAAGCCGAATACAAGGGAACATATATCTTCGTCTCTAACAACCAATAATTCTTCATCACACCACAAATTCTAGTTCGGGTCCATTGATAAAGATAAGCCATATGGGTCGTTTGTTTTTAACTTATTGGCCTTTGTTTCGATATTCGACCATACCAACAAGCCATGATTTAGACGGTGCGCAAAATCTTTCAAGTCCATCGTTACATGTGTAGTTTTGAGCAGCTTGACCTTTCACCAATTTTTTTTTTTTGGTTTATCTAGGGGTGTAAACGAATCGAGTTGAGTCGAATAGTGAGAAGTTCGAGCTCGAGCTCGACTCATAATTCGGGGCTCGATACTCGGTTCAAGCTCGATCGAGTTTTATTTTTCAAGTTTGAGTTTGATTCGTGATCGAATTCGAGCTACTCGAGCTCGCTCGATTAAGTTCGATTAATATGTAAAAATAAGCTCAATTCGTATACTCGATAATAGTTCGATTATTCATGCTCGAATTCGAACTCGAAATATTTTATTAATTAAAATAATAAAAATATATTTAAATATAAAAGCTCGATTAAGCTCGCGAGTTACTCGAGTCAGATATAAGAATACTCGAATTCGGCTCGATCGATAAGTCGAGCTACTCGAGCTCGAGCTTGATTCGATAATAATCGAACCGAATTCGAGTTTTTTTCAAATCGAACCCGAGTAGTTTGTGAGTACTAATGTATCATTTACACCTCTAAGTCATCCATTGATTTATAGACAAATATATATATATATATATATTCTGATTTCACAGGCCAATAATAACTTTCATATCTATGATCCATCTTATATAACGAAGTAAAAATTTTAAACTGATCTTAAGTTTGTTTAAAATATATGCATATATAGTACTAAACCTTCTTGTCTCTAATTAATCATTTATTTTGAATTGGTAAACTTTGAATTCTACAACATTTAATTTGTGCTTTGGTTTTAGAACCGTAACTTTAATCTCTTTCATGCCAAATCTGTTGGCAGAATCCGTGAGCTATTATTTTAATGCTGTATATATATATACAGCTAATTTTGATTCAGTGAACCAGAATGAAAAAGCAGCTGCTAACCCCAGGCAAATCCGATGAAGCATGCGTACATGAAACTTAGGATATATATATATATATATATATATCTGAACCTAGAGATGATAAGACAAAAATACAAATTATTAAACAAATGGTGAGACGATTCCCATAAGAAAAAAAGTACTACGGTATAAGTTACAACTTCTTCAATCATACTTTAAGACCAATGCAAATGATCGATAATGTTTATGCATCAAACTGACATTAATTAATTGGGGTTTCCACCTTGGCCTTAGCGTGAAGACAGACTTGACTCACGTTCTTCAACAAATGGATAGTTTTTTTTTCCCTCTTTTTGTTTAGATTGAATCTTAATTTACGAATCTTTTGGCAGTGAGCAGCAGGCCTCGTGCGTGCGTAGCTACCTTCTAAACCATTGTTGTCGGTTAGTTGATTAAGCTTTTTCAAGGGCTATGGTCGGTGAGCAAAACCTCGGTGCCATGAAGCTTCGTTCCCTAATATTGTATATCATTTTGATGGATTGATTATGGTTACCTATATATATATATAAGCTAGAGGACAAAATATTAATCGTACCTTAGGATTCCATTCCATTTGAATTGATTAGTTTCCAACTTTCCATGTTCAATCAAGGGGAAATCTTAATAATTAATGATTTGGGATGTAGAAATTAGTAGCTAAATTATTACATATGAAACTGTTTGTAGTACCCCAAATCATCCTTGCATATATCCATGCCATGGTAATTAGATTTCTTACCAAAAACATATATGTTTATGATCATTCAAGGGTATGCTATCACTTTGCAATCTCTACTAAGATGAAGTGATCAGCAATCAAAGTGACAAAATTTTGAAATTCAAACTTAACTCAGTTTATTATGATTTATGTCGTTAACCTTAAAAATGATACACAATAAGTTTAGATTTCAAATCTCAATATTTATAGATTTTTTTAATCAAGCTAAAATATTAGTACATATTATCTTTTTATGTACGTATCATGTTTTTTTGGTTTGAATTTAGTATTTTTCAATGCATAAAACAATTAATATATATTGCCTAATTAATTTGCAATCTCTCCTCAATAAAAAAGCATACAAATTGACTACAAATATCTTTGCTAATTTGAGATTATGATTTATTATATCAGTGCCCCCTCTCTTCTTACGCAACCATAGTTCATAGGTCCTTTAACATGTAGCTATAAGTTAGTAATGTATTGAGTAATAATTTGTAAAACTTAGAAGTCATAAATTAAGTAAAATTAATATATATATATATGTATGTATATGTTTGCATGTAATATTTTGCTTTTTTGGCGATCATCAAAATTAAAAGAATATGATCATCAAAAATCAAACTAAAATAATATTTATGAGACAGGAAATATTGTTATTTCATCACGAGACAAACTTTATCAATTTCAAAAAGAAAAAGAAAGTTATATGTATATGTATTACTATTTCAATTGATATAGAAAATTGTTATTTTTAGAGATATTGATTTGACTAGTATTTTAGCATAGCAGGGCAAAGAGAGAAATGTCCATTTTTCCTTTGCTTTTCCTTTAGATATATAGCTAGTTGAGAAAAAAAATGGTGCTAAATATCGTTATATATAATTTTTTTTCTTTGTTTTCAGGTGTAACATTTATATTTTTAGTATCAAATAATTAGTTAGTGGTACGAATACTTTTTCTTTTTATTTCCAAATAAAAAGAAAAAAAAAATTGTCCTTCATTGAAGTCCAATCAGTAACTAGCTGGCTAGCCAAGTTCACGGGGGTCCGAAACAACTCTCAAAGGGCCCATATGTTCATGGCCAGACTGGTCCAATGATTCATGGCCGTGACCAGTGACACCCCTTCTGTTGGCAGCTCACCGCCGGTGAACAGATCACTAACAACAAAATTAAATACAAGTATATAACGTGTACTCTTGAATTTTCATTCCGTAGCTAATAATATTTACTTTAATTTAGTCCAACTCCAACTCCAACTCCAACTCCAACTCCAAAGCCAATTATTTATTTATTTAAAACTTAAAGACTATTGATTTTTGTTCTATCCCAACCTCTGCCTATATTCGCGATATAGCCCTCGTGGGGCATGCTGTTGTAGGACCCATCGTTTGCCCATAATGTTATTATTTTTATTCACAGTATTCTTTAAGATTAGGTATTAGTTTAAAACTTAATCCTCTATAGTTTCCCAAAAAAATCCTTTTTGTGTTGATTTTTCGATAATTTAAAGTATCAAGAAGTAAATTCAAACATTGTTAGTTTGTTACCTGAGATTATGAGTGAGAGTTAAGGTAGTTTTGTTTATACAAATTGGTGTAATTAAGAATTAGATTAAATCGGTTAATTAAATATTAACTCAGATGACATATATGTTAGTTAAATTTTTTTAAAATTATTGGTTTAAGAAGAATTAAACTCATAATTTATCTTAATTTTTTTATTATGGGGTTTGTGTCAATTTAAAATAATACTTAAGCAGGAAATTAATTAATTAAACTCAAAATCATTTACTTCTAAGTTTCTTTAACTTTCAGCATCAACTCTTTTTTTTTTTAATCGAAAAGCATCAGGTCGTTTTAATTATTAGTTAAGTTTGTGAAGATAATTTTGCTAATTTCTTATGTAGATTTCGACGGCCAAATTTCTAAGAGCAAGCTATAAGCAAACATATTTAAAGCAATGGGGATTATCCCTTTGCCTTTCCATAATTACAACATGATAACTTAAAGCCTAACCCCAATTTACTTGTTCTTACAATTACAGCACAAGGCGGCTTAAGTTAATTACAAGGCAATCATACGAGCACCCTTAATTAGGAAGACCAGACTTCAACATTAAGATTAATTAATTAATTAATTAATTAATAAAACCTACTCATATATCTATATATAGTCATATTATTATAGGAGTAGGAGTAGGACATTTTCGTAATTTAGAATAAGGCATAAAATATAGTAATATTCTATACTTTTCTGCATATGAGTACGGTTGATGCTATATAACAGTGTCCACCCTTGATCACAATTCAGTCCAAGAAAGAGGAGAACAAAAAAAAAAAAAAGTTTGAAAACTTGAGAGAAGTGGCCTGAAGAGTTGATTCCAAAGACATGGGCAATAGTTTAAGGTGTTGTTTGGCTTGTGTTCTTCCTTGTGGGGCTCTAGACTTGATCCGTATAGTCCATTTGAATGGGTATGTAGAAGAAATTACGCGTCCGGTCACGGCTGGTGAGATTCTCAAGGCCAACCCTAATCATGTCCTAAGCAAACCATGCTCTCAAGGTGTTGTACGTAAAATTTTGATCCTCTCTCCGGAATCCGAGCTCAAAAGAGGCAGCATATACTTTTTGATCCCATCGTCTTCGCTACCGGAGAAGAAAAAGTGCGGTATGCACCATAAAAATTCCTCCAAGAAGAGCAAAAAATGCAACAATGATGACGTTGTTTCATATTGCAATCGTTACATATCAAACGTCAATATTTCAGAGAAGAAACATTCTTCACGTAAGGATCGCCAGCACGGTCGTGTCGGAGTATGGCGGCCTCATCTCGCAAGCATCTCCGAAGACTAACAATTTCTTCTTTTCCGTGCCGTGATCTGATCACATCTCCATAGATAACCGCGCAGTGGTTCAATCATGCAATGGGGACGGTTTTTTTTTTTTTTTCTTATACGTGAGGTGTTGGTTTTGTGGATATGATATACTTCAATTCCCTTTTCTCTGTTTTTTTGGGTCTGCTTACAATAATGGCAGATCCGGAATTCCACCATTTGCATCATGATGGAAACTATATGATCACTGGGAAAAGAATGAGAGAGAAATATTTGTACTAATGGTATTATATTTACACCCTCAAGATGTAAGTAAAAAATGCTTCATTTTTACATTTTTACCTCTTCTTTCAAAGTACTGTTATGTTCTCAAATTAATAATTTGTTGCTTGATATATTTGTTTCATGAAATTGATCATTGTGATAGTTTCTTTTAATTTGTATGTGTATAATTTGATCGATTTTGAATCATTTTCAGAAGATGAATCCCTTCATTTCTTTGATTTTCATTCACAAAAGGTTTGATAAAGTATTACATTGAATTTGCATTATAATTCAATAAATTTACACAGTTCATATATAGTTGCAGGGTTAATCACATTGATATGTATGAGATAGCAAGCTTACTATTTCTTTTTCGATGGCAACAAGCTTAAAATTGATATGTATCAGCTTAATTAATTAATTAATCATCCGACTTGTTCAATTTTTATTAGTTCAAGAGCCGTTAATGGGCATTTTTATCATATGTTATTTATCATTGCAAAGTGACAAACCACTCACAATGATATCAGATGTGATTAATTGAATGAAGAACAATGACTTCCGATTAGTTGCACGTCGTGGGTTTTTTTGCTTTTTCCTTTTTTAATTAATGCTTAATAGTACATGCACATTAAGAAATGTTCTATGTAATATATAATTATTATGTGCAACGATCAAGGTCCAAATATGCTTAATCAAATAACACAATTTGTTAGTAAACAAAAGGAGGGACATCTCTTTAAATTATTATCAAAAGCAATAGATTAAAGTTTAAGGTTAATGATTGTGAGCTTTACATTTATTCTTTAAGCTTGGGAAGAGTTGAACTATCCATTCTCAAAGAAAAGATTAGTTTAATTTATATCATCAAGTTGTAAATTATTGCCAGCTCCTTTCATCTTACAACTGGTAACTTGGTTTTTGCCATCTATGGCAAACTCCTTATATGATTAGTTGACCCTCTCTCTTTTTATTTATTTTTTCTTCTTCTTTGATCTTTTTCAAAAAAAAAAAAAAAAGGAAACAACTCAATCTTTACTTTGGGTTCGGTTAAATGACGACATAAACTCATATTTTAATTTTCATTTTGGATCGATACAAGAAAAATGAAAGTTAATTTTCAGTTTTTGACTGAAAATTAGAAAAGGGGTTGATGGATTGAAGGACAAGATCGAGTATAGCTGTTGGATTGAGAAGACAAAAGCTCAAACCCTTGTATAATAAATTTGCTTTATCTTAATTAAAAAAAAAATCATAAAGTTGATAAATAGCGACAACTCCACGCTACATATAAATATAATTGGAAAACAAGCTGGCAAATCCCCTTAAACATTTATCATATATATAATTCGGTCCTCACATGGAAATTGGATTCCCCCATAAATATATATTGGACAAAACTTACACATCCCTTTATCAAACTCTACACTTCTAATTATTTAAATGTTTTGGACCACACAAAGACTTTTCTTGGTTTTAGTTTTGCAGATCATAGATTTCCCCTTCTTGGAGTTTATGATTTTTTAAACTGATTCTGCTTTAACTTAAAAAGAGAAGCACATGGATTCACCTCTGTTGTTACATTCTCAAGCTAGCCATATATATGTATTTAACTGCTTTTTTACCAACAATTCATCACACACAAATAAACCCAATTTTATGATATGGTTGATTGATTAATAATAATACTCTAAATTAAGTTGGGAGATCCCCATGAACCATGCGTCGAGCCCATAGTGCAGCGTTGGCGACGACAAAATTGGTAACCAAGGCTGAGTTCACGCGCTCAGTCGCCAATTCCAAGAGGAGAACATTGCGGATTTTCTCTAGATTGGAGACATAATTAAGGTCATATATACAAAACTTATGCTAGCTATAGCCCATATGGGAAGTGAGTTTTAATAATATATATCTCTAGTCAAATGGCATCTTATGTATGCGAGCCTATAATAAAATCTAAAATATGCTGAAGTTGTCAATCCCAATTGAAGTTAATTTTTTTTACAATGCAGGAAATAGCTTGAAGATAAGAGAAAGATTTTCATGTGTAATCTTATTTGAATTTTAAATATAATATTGAATAATATTTTTTAAAGGTAATTTATAAATCAATTAGATTAATTTTCGGATTCAATTGAAATTAATTTGAGCTATTGAGTATGTTGATAATGTCCCTTTCACCAAGATAATATAATTAACCTCGTATCATATGGGGATTAAAGGGATTTGGGTTTAACTTGAAAAAAAGCTTGGTATCGTCCAGCATCAACTATATCTTAAATTTAGGAGGATTTTGCTTTGATATTGGTAAATCAGTTTTATTAAAAAAAAAAAAGGAATTTAGACATGGTAAAGTGCTATTTTAAGAAAGAAAATACCATTTCTCATGTAATTAGATGCAACAATCACTTATCAAATGTTATAATTCTAATATATTAAGGGAAAATGTTTTTTAAAATTATTAATTTAGAACGTTTACTAACAATTAGACCCTAAAAAACTGTACAAACAATTTTATTTTATATATTTAGAAGTCCATTGAACTTAAACTAGGCATAGAGATTGAGATAATTCTTGTTCAATATACCATAATTACCACATTAATTTCCTTTTGTACAAACTTATTGTTTTACGTACATATCCAAAAAAAAAAAATGCAATAAGGACCGCATATCTTAAAATGGTATTTAAAATTTTTTGTTTTTAATTATAGTTCTGTCATTTCTCAATTTTATATCAAAATTATTTTTATTTATTTACATTTAGAAACCTCACAAAATTTGATGATGTAACAATCTTTGACAGCCGTTTTTTATTGGGTGCATTCTTTTCTTATTTGGATATTTTCTTCTGCTTCTAGGCCTCTATCCATATAGCCCAATAGTCTGCAAACTCATAGGGCCTATGGCTCGCAAAATGTGACCAGTGCTTATTGGGCTTTGTTGGGAGTCATAACATTACTCAATAGTCTCTGATAAAATAGGAATTCATGTAAACATTCAATTCAAAAGAGAAATCCAATGATATTTTCAATTGATAGTTGCTTATGTAAGATTTCAACAGTTTCCTTGTTGACGATGTTTTTGGATTTTCTTAACTGAAAAGAAAGAAGTGAGGTTGAAGGAAGAACAGTTTGAATTTGTAGCTAATAAAATTATTAAAAGTAACATAGTTATTATTTCAAAAGAGTGTTTTGATACTCAAGTCAGCAAGATACTTGAGATAAAGAAGGAAGGAATGAAAGAAAGAGATGAAAGTGGTGAAGTGTGTGAAAAAAACTTCAATGGAAGTGAGTTAGAGTGTGTAGAAGGGTTCTCTCTCACGTATTTGGTCTTCTAATTATCTTATGTATGAGATTAAGAGGTGGTAATCTAACTTGAGACATTGATAGCTAATAAGATGTTTGTATGTAGTTTGAAAAGGATTCATGCGAATAGATATAAGTTACATTTAATAATTTTAGATAGATATAAATTGTATTTAATAATTTTAGACAAATTAAATATCAAGTGATCAGATTGAAGTGATTGTCTTGATATATTATTAATAGGATCTTAGGCGAGTCGTCAAGTGATGTGATTATCTTGCCGTGCTTTATTTGAAAGATCCTAAAGTATGATTATGTTGATCTTGATCAAATTGCCTATGGTCAATTAACTTAGGAATAAGACTCTGAAAAAGACTATGTGAAAGTTGAGGTATAAGCTAACAAAATTAGATTTGTTGCAGTATTTTTTATTTTTTGTTTTGTTTGTTTTTTTTTTTTTAACGTTGAAGACCGATATTTGCTTTTTGAATTTTGGAATAAATTCATTAGTTATCCAAGAAAAAAGAAATTCCATGTTATTATCTTTTGTCATAACAATGAAAAGATTAAGAATATCAATTTTATCCATAATCAATGAAAATTTTAATTTTTTATCATAATGAGAATGGAGTATTATATTGTGAGTATGATAAGGAAGTTATATATGATTTTAAATTTTTATTAGATATATGAATAATGATAAATAATAAAATATTCATCTCGTACATATATCTTATATGTACTTATATATATTTAGTAAGTAAATTTTTTATTAAATGATATAAATTATTATTTAAATTAATTGAAATATATCTTTTGAAAAAATATATTAATATTATTTATAAAAAAAAATTTAAATATATAATATAAAAATAAAAAAATTAAAAGATAAATTTTTATTTTTATTTTTTAAAAAATTTTGAAAATAAAAATTATCTGTACTCATTAAATACTTAAAAATAAAAATAAAAAAATAAATTTAAAATACTTATTAAATATAAATATTAAAATAAATATAATATAAACATTTAAAAATAATAAAAAAAAAACTCTAAACTTCTTATATGGTATCATTGGTTTCGATGCAAAGGATGTGTGTTTACCATTAGAAGCAAGCTTTGGTTCATTAACGGCAGCTTTGCTTCAGTACTAGCATTAAACAGTCATAAGTACTGGACATGTGGTATGATTAGAATGCAGGCACCAAGCAAGGCAGCGAAAGGGGCAGAGGACAGATGTTCACAAGAACCTGGAAAAAATGGAAAAAAAAAAAAACTGTAAAAACTATTATTAAGTATACATCAAGATGAATAAAAACAAGTTATGTTAGATAAAGAAATTACAAATATTTCAAATTTGACATATATTGATATTTACAGTTGCATCCATCTCTAATTAATAATATATTCTTCCATTTTGTGCGCGGGTATCTTTTCAACAATTATTTTTTTTAAAACATTAGAAATTAATTCCGACGAAATCAGCAGAACATATACATGGAATGGAAAAAGTCGATAAAACCAATAATCTTTGATAAGTTAAAAAAGAAGAAGGAAGAACCCTATATAAATGCAACAGAACAGAGCAATATATTGGAACTTGATGTTGGAAAATGCAATGATATACAAACTATACAGACAGAGAGAGAAAAGAAAAAAAAAAAGAAAGAAAAATATATATATGTATAGGATTTAAATGGTTGCATTCTAATTAATTAGTAGGTTAAAATAATAAAAGATCCTTAAATTTTATAATTTTATTTAGATAAATCTTTTATATTTTTATTGTTTTCTAAGGAAATTTTTAA